GAGAAACACGGCATACTATTTAAAAGTCAGCACGGATTTGTTGAAAACAAATCGACGACAAGAGTAATTCTCAGTCTCATAAACAGAATTGTAAAAAAGATATGGATTCCAGACTAGCAGTAGCTGGGATGTTTTTTGATTTCAGTAAGGCCTTTGACCTCGTAAACCATAGACTTCTCCTTAGCAAAATGAACGACATGGGCATTAAAGGCACAGCTCTCAACTGGTTTTCGTCCTATCTTGAAGGTAGAAGGCAGTCTGTAATCATAACTGCAGTCGATACCACGGGTCATTTACGGAACCATGTCTCTTCTGAGGCTGTAGTGAGGAGAGGTGTGCCACAGGGGTCTGACCAGGGGCAGATCCTCTTCCTTCTGTTCATTAATGACCTGACATCTAGTGTAAATGAGGCAAATGTATGCCTATTTGCGGACGACACTTCCCTAACTGTGTCCAGACCAAGTACAGAGGAACTGGAACATGTCACCTTTCTGGAATCAAACTCCCTTCTTCAGTGAATGATGAAAATTACAACATCATCTTGAACGCTCAAAAACCTAAATTGTCCAGTTTTCCATTTCTAACGGGTCAATGCAGTCCCACTATGACTTGAACATTCTCCTCGACGATACCACTATCTCCCCTTCTTCAGAAGTAAAATTCCCTGGTCCTGTCCTTGACGAAAACCTCAAATTTCACAGCCACATCGAGCATGTCAGCAAGAAAGTATCGGTGGGTAAATTCATGCCAAGAGTTTTCAGCCAATCAGCCACCACTGATGTCCTATTATCAGCCTATTATGGGCTTGTTTACCCACATCTAACTTATGCGGTTCCTGCTTGGGGGTGCGAAAGTGAGAGGACTAGGTTCTTGTTTAGGCTTCAGAGAAGGGCAATCCGAATTGTGTTTTCTATTTCCAAACAACAATCATGCAGGGATTATTTCAGAGCATTTAAAATGTTAGCTTTCCCATCTGCTTACATCCTCCAAGCTCTAACTCGAATCTTTCCACAGCAGAAATAAGTTACTTCCCTTTTCTCATCTGCAATAAATTCCAGGTATCCATTGTGCAATACTTAAAACTACCAATTCCTCGACATTCCACTTCTTTCTTTCAAAGAAACCTTCATTACAATTCCGTTAAACTATTTAATAGTAGTCTTCCACCTCAACTTAAGGCCGAAGAAGATCTAAAAAAGCTTAGAACATGTCTAAAGTCCATGGTGCAAGAAACAAGGAAACTAGATACCAATAAATGTTAAGTTTTCTGGTAGTTGTCAGGTAGTTGTGGTAGTTGTGCAAGAGACTTGACAACATGTTTACTGTCTAGGCTCAATGTTTAAAAATCCATCTTAATAGCCTACATCCAAACCATTACAGATACAGAAGCCCCTCATTAATTTGGACTAGGTAATAATTTGCATTCCAAGTTGGGATGATTAGGCTAATAGAATTCTAAATAAAAGAAACATCTGGGCCCTATTTCATAAAGATACTAGTCTAGTAATTACTAGTATATAGTAATTACTAGTCCCGTATTTACATGTCCTACTAAATTGTGTTTCATAAACGTGTTTATACCGCTAGTAAATACTAGTGTATTTTACTAGTCACGTGACCAAAAATACTAGTCACGTGACCAACTTTACAAGTGAACAGTCAACACTAATTTCTAACCTCAATCACGGGTTTTCTGACGCTTTATAATTGGTTTAAATTTTGTTTTCATTTGATACAAAAAGTTAATAGTTGTATAAACGCAGTGTTTTCTTTTAATTAATAACTATATAGACACATAAGTAAAACAATCACATATTATTTATCAAAACGCTATTATTTATGTTCATCAATGAGCCCGCCGGCGCTTCGCGTCGCTGCAATCAACTCGGTGATTGTGGTAGCAGGTTGTAGGCCTAGTTGTGGCGCTCAACAGTTGGGTGGAAGTTGATCTGTTGCTGCCGCATTCGCTGTAATTTGTATAGTTTTTGTTTTATTCTGACATATAAAATTAAGCTTGCTATGAGTAAAGAAAAGAAGGCTCAAATTTTGAATGTAATTAAATCGTCTAAGGACATTTTGTTAGGAACGTTTTCAAGTACCCTAACCTATGTTTTCAAATATTCGAATGCATAAGAATATTTGGGTTAAAACCCATTCTGTGATATTCTAATTTTGAGTCTACAAACCATGAATAATAAGCCTAAACATTTATTGATGTAACAAATAATTGCAACGCCGTTACAAGCAATGGAGAAGTAGGTTTTCAAGTATATTAAAACATGACAAATATGCTATGGCTGGACGTAGCTCAGAGGTAGAGTTCTCGCTTCTCATGAGGTGGGTCCCTCCCTGGTTCAAATCCGCGCCACTCACTATACTTTTTATTCCATTAATTAAACTTTTACATGTTTTTGCATTAAAATAACAGCTCTAATATTCAACATCTAATTTTTTTATTACTTTGAATAATAAATTCAGAATACCAAAATGGATTAAAAGTAATGTTTTTATGATAAGCAGTTCAGTCCAACGCCCAAAAATCAAATATAGGCCTACAAAATTGTTACTACATCACAGGGTTTTAGCTATTATTGAAACAAATAATAAGCACCTAAAAAAATACAATGCAACTCCTCTTTAAAATTGTCTTACTATTATTTCCTATTAAAATGTCTTTAAATAAAACCGAGAGCCTTGGGTGTAAAATAATCTGATCATTAATTAATCTGTTGCGATTTTGGATACATTTTTGTACATCTTTGTATGCAATACGGTATGTGGTTTTAATTTGGTTTCTCTCAAAGCTTAAAAATCTTTTATCTGTGATAGCTAAATAGTTGATATAACCATGAAATAACTCAAGTAAAATTAGACTAAAATTTCACAGAAATAGATAACTTATAATTATAATTAATTCTAATAGGGCGATTGTACATCTAAATATATAAAAGGCAAAGCCCTCACTGACTGACTCACTCACTCACTCACTCACTCATCACTAATTCTCCCACTTCCCATTTACCTAGGAGGCTGAAATTCGGTACACCGATTCTTTGGGCATTAAATAGGAAAACTAAGTAGTTTTTATTCTGATCAGGCTTTCGGACTCTGCCCCAGTGGCTCTGGAATTTCCCATGTTAACCTTATGATTTTTCATATTTAAAAGGAATTTCTTAACAGCTGTTTCAATTAAACAAGTTGGTTCTGTTCTATGATGTTCAAAAGCATTAAAGTTACAAGGATTACCAACAGGGTGCATCACTATTATTTTTTTAAATTTATGACTACATCCAATTTGCAACCAAAAGGTGAGTGAGCGAACGAACTTCAACCTGAAAGCGAGATAGCGTAGCGAACAAGCTAACCTGAAGGCAAGTGAGCGGAGCGAACGAGCTCCAACCTAAACCAACTTCAACCAGGACGTGATTGAGCCATGCGAACGAGCTCACTTGTGAAGTTAAACGGGGCAAAGCCCGCGGGTACAGCTAGTACATTATAAAATTCAATTTCACTCATTTTGTACTAGGCAACATTTATTGATTGTAATTTATATCTAATAATAATTATCATTTTTAGCACTCACAGATCTATTTTTATCTTAAATTGCAAACTTGAGCCAATTCGCACTTGCAAAAAGAACTTAATAATCCTTCTTTTTTTTAATGATGTGAGTAATGAAACAACTCTCTTTCCAAAAATACTAGTCTACTTCAAATAATACAGGTGTAGAGAGGCTGTTAGAAAATGGCAAGTATTTACCAGTGTAATTTACAAGAGTAAAACTTTATGAAACACATTGCTGTCTACACTAGTAAAAACCACTATAGTAGTACCAGAAACAAAAGAACCCTGGGCCGTTTCGAGCCGCGCAGGTTTCAATGCTACGCCACACCTACCTGCGCGAACCACGTGATCTTTTCGTTTCTGCGCAGGTTGTTTTGTTCTTGGGATATCTATAGTAATACTAGTCCCTACACTAGTAGGTTTTTGAAACGTAGACTTGTAAAATACACTAGTATTACTAGTCCATGGACTAGTAAATACTAGACTAGTAGTTTTATGAAACAGGGCCCTGAAGGAAGTATGAAGAAAGCAGTGCTATATCAGGGACCATTTAGGAACCCACCTTGTGGTAACATATTGTGGATTTAGAAATGCAAACAGTGGCTAACATAAGTGCAGTAAGTTAAAATGTATTTAAATTTGTGTAGGCCCTAGGATTATAGATTTTACATTTCAAATGCCATTTGTGCCTTACAGTTACAATAGTAATGACACAGCTAATATAGCTAAACCCTCTTCCCATCCGTACCACCATACAAACAGAGATTTTCACATAGTCCTAAATTGCTAGCTACGTAACAAAACTGTGTATTTTATAGTACAGAGAGTACATTCTTAGTACTTTCTTTACAGGGAGTACATTCTTAACTCAGCAAAATAGGATTTTTATAATCACCGTCGTAGTGATTGCTCAAAAGAGTGGCTAGGCGTTTTAATTATATTAACAAATGTAGGGATGGTGAGGATGTTATTCACGTACCAAATATTAGTATTAAGGCATTTTAACAATCCTCAATAATAATTTCTACATTGAAGTCTTCAAGTTTTATTGTTTTTAGGTTTAAATTTTGTTTCTATCACTAGTGTAATGGGGCAGGAAAGCGTGGGAGCAGGGTTCCCCCTCTGCTTTTCACAAAGAACCTGTATATCAGTAAGCAATCCGTATTTTTCCGAGATAATGATGAGCGTTCCTGCACTGGAAAATTTATTACTATAGCACTGATTGCTATAAAGTAAGTTTATTATTGCTAATGTCCATGTAAACACTGTTAAGAGTTTCAGAATTGGAAGTGGTTACTTCAGCAGGTTGGATTGAGTTAACAATTATCATACATTATGCAGATTATAATTTGCCTGTGTCTTGTAGCTGTAAAATGAGTAAATAAATAAAATAAATAAACATATATGTATCACTAATGATTGATTGATTTATTTAGTGAAGTACAACCAAGGCCCTGTGGAAAATCCTACCCCAATCACCCCAGGAACGATGGTGGGATACACTCCTGCTGGCCAACGACATGAAGTAGATCTCAATTTTGGTAGACCTTCATCATTCAATGTAAGTTAGATTTATTTGCTGAGAATATTTTAGTTAAGTGTGATAAATCAATTACTTTGATTAAAGAAACTTACAGAAAACTATTTGCTTAGCTTGACAATCTTATTGTGATCACGAGGCAAGGTAAGGTGGATCTGACATCCACCTTAAAAACAGTGAGAGGTAGTTCAAATTCTCACATTAACTTGCATAACATTATGAATTCTTCATCAATACAGGAGTATAATAAATTTACCAGCTGCTTATTAGTAACTAAAAAAACCTTCTATATAGCTGAGTCCGCTTTGATATATTACGTGTTATGGTAGTTGGCAGGGACGTACATTATAACTCATGGTAAACAAGCGTAATCTATTATTGCACTTTTAAGATTTCTCCATTCTTAACCTACATATATACCCAGAGATTCCTAAACAACCTAAAGATTCCATTAACAAATTAGAATGCCCACGTGTGCTCGTAGTAAGCAAGTGTAAGTGTGCTCGCAAGTAAATACTGGTTGTAATTGTTTTCATTCACTCGGCCTAATACACTCTTTTCTCAACAATCCATGTGATAGGGTTAGGCTTTTAAATGGCCAATATGGAGTTAGAATTAGTAAATTTTTTGGGAAGAAATCACTGATCATGAATCTTAATTAAAACTAGGTGTCAAATTAGCCTATATTTCCTTTCTCCCTAATTTCAGTCAGAATATGCACGTATGCAATGGGATTATGCCACGAAAGTCAATGTGACACGGATGTTCCATCAATTGGCGACAGGAACATTCCTGCCGGATGAGTTGGATCCTAATATTGAAAGGAGGTACTTTGCTGAGCAAGACATGATAACCAAACAAGCTACCGATCACTTTGAGCAAGTAGCCAACACTTCACCAGGAGCAGCTGGTTTGACTGAAGAACAACAGATGTCTCTACCGTAAGTTAAAATTTAAAACTTACACTATTGGCTTGAATTTTACTATTTTAATATTGACGTTCTAAAATTATTTTATTCATTATTTTTTGGAGGAAACAGAACTTTCTTATGATTATGTAATTTCTTTTTTATTATTGGAAAATATACAAGGGACCATGAGAGTCTGCAATTGGCAGCAACCAATACCAAGACTCTGGACTAGCGCGACGTTGCAACATCACCCATTCACTACTTTTCGACACTATTTAAAATATACTAAACAACATTTTCAAACCAGCTGGTAATATTAGATTTGGCAACACCACACGGTCCTCATTGGCTCCTTCGAAGTCACGTGGTAAATAGGCTCCTCCCTCAATCGCAGACTCTCGTGGACCTTACTGTAATTACTTTATATGATTACATGATTAAGTAATTATTTTTATGTTTGTGTAGGACAATAAGCCTAACAGTTGTCTTAATTTTTATTGGGTTAATTAATTTTAGGCAAACAGGGTCTAGGCCTACTTATTGTAAAACCCAGGAAAATATTCATATTTTCTTCTTACCGGTACTAATCTGAATAGTATGATTTTTAACATTTTATATTTAGCAAAGATGAAATAAATATTAATGTAAGAACAATTGAGGTAGGAAGTCCTATTATCTGAATTTTTAAATTTAATTTAGTCCTCATATTAATTTTTACAATAGGTTCATAAACCAACTTTCTATTTAGATTTCTCGATGCTGAGGTAAAGCTTTTGGAGCTTAACGAGTTTGCAGTGGTAAGGATTCGAGACTTTTCTAAAGAAGTTGATCAAAAACTGCGGAACGCCCTTGATCTTCCAATAACTGCACTGATGATCAAGAAAAATCCTATGATACTGGACACTTTGGAAATAGTAAGTTATTTCCTACTCTTACAGTAAAAATAATTAAGTTTTTAAATGGGACTAATAAGGAAAAAACGCTTTGAAATTTCAAATGATCTCACATAAATAATAATGTTTTCTCCATTATCCCATTACAGTATCTCCATTATCTCTTGGTTCTATTATCCTAAAATTCATTCATGTAGGCTAGTAAAAGTGTTTTATCCATGTTCTTACAAAAAATTAATCTAAAACCAAGTTTGATACTAAAACAATGGAAACAGCAGTTTATAGAACATTAATATGAAAAAAAGCTAGTTATAAGGCTTATAATTTTTTATTTTACCCTTTGACAACTAAATGTAGTTTTCGTTAATATAGACTTGACGTACAGGAATGTATTTGTTGTGTATGCTAAAAGGAGTAGCCACGTTCTGGAACATAATTTAGTAAGATTTTTTTAGAGTTCCCAGTTTAGAGGATATATTTTTATTTTAAGATGTTACTATGTTTTCAATCTATTCGTGAAGACATATGGTAAAGCATATTGAGGATATTAGTGTGTAGGTACAATTGATGGTGGAATGTGGATTACCTGTAATGGGTCTAGTGCGAAGGGATATGAGCACCTGACTAGTAAAGGGAAAATATGGTGCAAGATATTTACATGAGTGACAGGAACTGAGTTATTTAAATTGTGTGATGTTTGCAATGCCTGTTGACCTAAAAAAAAATTTCCGGGTCAATTTATTGGTGCTAAGTGTTAAGATGCAGCTATGAAGGTGTTATTTGATGGTACCGAGCTGTGTTCGTTTGCACAATATCGCTATTAGTCATTCTTAGTCTTGTTGATTTTAATTGTTATGCAGTTATATCAGTATACTAGCCGCTATCCTCGTGCCTTGCAACGGGATCAGTATTCAAAGAGTAGTTTGTACTATAAATGAAAATCTATCACAATACAGGTAGTTCCAAATCTGTCAATAGTGTGATTTTATAACATTTTTAAGGAGACATTTTAGTGAAAATATGATCAGGCAAATGGAAATTCGCTTGGACTGCAGGTTTGCTGGGGCGAAGGTGTTTATTAATGTTTCCACAAAAATGTATCTTAAGAATAATTCTCATAAAACTCAGTATAACAGCCGAGGTTAGTACAGGAGCAACGGTTATAGGATATCTCATCAATGAATAACTTCTTTTATCAATGACCATATTTCCTTATGAAATATTATTTAAGTATTAAATTTGCTTAAACCATATGTGTGTAATTGTGAAATCAAAGGCATTTGAAAGTTGTGCTTCTCTGCTTGTTTACATTTAAACATTATGAGTTCTTGCCATGGATACCAATCAATATTTACTTTTAAAACTCTCGCCTCAGAACTTTGAAAGCCCACCAGGCAGAGTCCTAGGTCAACATTGAAGCGGGAATAATTCTATATGTATCCTCGTAGCTGTAGCTTTATTTTTGTCAAATTTGAGCCTAGTCAGTTCAGTAGTTTTGAGTTTTTAGCTCACAAATACACACACACACAAACACACAGACAGACAGACTCTTCCTCTTCACTTGATGGGGCTTTATATTAAAAGATTTGGAGCTGCCCCCAAAATACCCCATTTTGTTGTTCCGGGCAAAATTGACATACTGATCAAAAAGTAGTTTCTACTTTATTGTTACAATAATAATGAGTTTAGTTTCCCTGGTACAACCCATAAAAACGCTAATATTGGTGTATATTTTTACATGGGCTCTCCGAGGCTGATGAAAAATGAAAAATGCCCGCCATTCTTAAATGGGTTGAGATAGAGACCTCTGGTTTTCGCCAATATTCTTTTTAACTAATGGCCTTTAAAATGATGAGCTACTTCATAGGGAATGCAATTTTTTGTAATAGTTACCCCCAGCAACCCCTATTTGGTGGTGGGGGGTGAATTTCAAAATACCCCCAAAAAGTGCTTTACATTACCCTAGTAATGTGTAGGTATCAGGGCTCTTTTGAATATATGCAGCCATTTAAAAACTAACCTAGGGGGACTATTCTGGGACAACCAGCATAATAAATAGAGACACTAATGTCAATATTCTTTAAGGGTAAAACATTTTATTATGACTAGAAAGTATTCACTTTTAAAGTATCAGTATTTAATCTTTAGTTTTTAATCTGTTAAATTAACTTCTTGATCAGCATTGTACGTGTTATTGAATTTACGGAAAGTAAATCAAATACGTGTTATAACACTTAAAACATATATTTACGCTTATACTGTTACTCACAAGACAGTAAATATTCAAAAGATGGTAAGTGGTGATCGATTTCGATTGGACACTCCAATCATCATCAGACCCCATAGGCGAATTCGCCTATTGGGTCTGATGATAATTGGAGTGTCCAATCGAAATCGATCACCACTTACCATCTTTTGTATATTTACCGTATTGTGAGTAACGGTATAAGCGTAAATATATGTTTTAAGTGTTATAACACGTATTTTATTGACTCTCCGTTTAATCTGTTCTATCCCAAAAAAAGGGCCAGAGAGCAAATTATGGGGAGGGTGTAGTATAGAGTGAAGTTGATATTTTTTAATTTCCCCTTATTTATTTAAATTGTTCTGTTTAGTTGGCTTCGCAGTGTATTTACATTGAGGTGGCTGCCTCTGCCGGAGCCTTGCTTGATAAAATCAAGGTAAGATGTGTTTTGTAACAAAATAGTTTACTGTATTATCTATGTTTATCATTCAACTTTATAACCTCAGTATATATTAATATGTACCAACTTAACACCACCAGTAGTGTAGGTGTTTGGTAGTTCAAATATACTATTAATTCCCAGGCTTTTTTGATGATGAAATTATCTGTCCTTGATTGCAGCTTGATAAAAGACAAGAAGGTGATATCTTGCCATTTAGCAAATTTCCCTGTAGGGAAGAAGCTGTTACCTAGGGTTTGTAAGATCTGTCCGGTGTGATGTCCGTTGCCGCTAATTTTTGTCCGGCGGATGTCCGATCAATCTCGGCGTGAGAGTGGTTTGCAAGAAAAAGGACATTCACGGTTATTTCTCTTGGGAAATGAGCTAGTGCCAACAATGACAAAAAAAATTCATATAAATGAGACATTTCAAACAAACTAAATGTATACTATATCGTCAAAACTGTTTGAAATAACATCGGAGTTATTAAAACAACTTTATCGTCCTTAAAATAAGTAAAATAACTACCAAACATAGCTGAACCATCTGGATCTTGAAACAAAGAGACCCATGAAAATAGTTTTGGTTAAAATAAAAAAAAACAAACCATTTGTTCAAAGCAATTGGATTCTATTATAATACCACCGAAAACAATAAAATCAATATAGGATGATAGTTACAGTTTTATTAAATAAATTTTACTTTTATTACAATCACTCTGGAATAAACTAAGCGTGATTTTTAAATTTTTACAAGAATCTTCATGAGAGTCTTACACTTGTCCGCTCGGCGTACACGCTAGAAATGACTGGGGCCATTTTCAGCGTGCCACGCTCAGGACTCACGCCGGACCGATGGCGGGAAAACTCATGTCCGGCGTGATCGCTCGCGCTTGGAAATCGCACCCATTTAAAAGCATGGCTTCAATTTAAACTTGATTACGTAATCACGCTTGTCCACTCAAGCTGTCCGTCCGGTGTGATCTTGGAAACCTTAGCTTTAGGTGGCACAGTAGACCTAGACCCTGGACTGATTTACTTTTTAATTTTGATGTCCCCAAAGGCCAAAAGCACTATTAGTTCAAATTTGCATGTATACATTATATATAGGCCTATACATAGGTACTAGGTTGGGTCGGAAAAAACCAACAATTTTTCTTTTAAAAACTCTATTTCGTATGGCATTATTTTAACTGAAATGCTTTTATATAAAATAATGTATTGTAATTTACATACTTGACAGGAAATTGTTATTTGAATTAATACATTAATATAATGTTTATTCTTAGTATAATTGCAATGAGGCGCGCAGTATTTTTGGTAAACATTATCCATGTAAAGTTTTGTAAGGATCTAAGTAAAAACTTTCAATACCATGAGAAGAATTCTCATAGAATTGTAACAAATGTAGTTGTTTTTATGTTTTTGGTATCCGGCCTAGTGACTCTGCCAACGTCGTGCAAAACATTAGAGGCTATTGCTGTTGTAGCACGATTGGAAACACCATAACGATCGCTAAACAATACAGTACAGTTAATCCTCATTTGCCTACCATAGGTATTCTTTTTCGGAAGTTTAAGTAAATATTCTTGGTTGTTGTCATTAGAATCGTAAATTTTAGTTTGTGAGCAAGGAGCACATGGATACATTATCATCACCATCCTGTTGTTCAGTTTCGGATTCTTAAACTCGGAATCACATGGCGTCGCCCAGGTCACTGACCACTTGCACTTGTCCGCTCGGCGTACACGCTAGAAATGACTGGGGCCATTTTCAGCGTGCCACGCTCAGGACTCACGCCGGACCGATGGCGGGAAAACTCATGTCCGGCGTGATCGCTCGCGCTTGGAAATCGCACCCATTTAAAAGCATGGCTTCAATTTAAACTTGATTACGTAATCACGCTTGTCCACTCAAGCTGATAATAGTGCCACGCTAAAGTGAATTTGTCTATGCGCGACCGGTAGATCAATTCTGACTTCGTCTGTTGTTTTTGTTACGTTACTATCTGAATGTGTACAAACAGATTTTTTGTATTACATTTTGATATCGATTATTATATTTTAAATAATACTAATACAAAATGAAGTTTTTCTTGATTTTTGGCAATATTTGCAGCCGATGCACGACAGGAAGATATTAATATACTATACTATTATTTAAATACCATTTTTTTAGTGTCTTGTAGATGATATTTTCAACTATTACATATTAAAAATTAAAAATTAAAAAATTGTAAAAATTTCCGATAAAATATGAGTTTTTAATTTTTTGTTCAAACTTTAGAGCACATGCGTGACCAGAAGATAACAACCAATATTTTTAATATTTTTACCCTGTTTTGGCCTTACAATTTAACAACTTTTCCAAGGTATTCCAACTAAAAAAATAGTGATTTTTTTACCACCCTAATAGGTACGTCCGTGAACGCAATAACTCGATTAATTTTGATCCGATTTTGATGAAATTTCACTTGAAGTTTTAGGGTGAGTTAAATTTAAATGAGATCGCGAACCAGCAAGATTGGGTAATGGAACAGAGTTTTAGGTTGCTTAAACATTCAAAAAATTGTTTTTTTCAATTGTCCACCCTTGAAACATGGAAATGCCCAATTTTCATTACAGCCATTTTCTAAAGCTTAAAAACAAATAATTTCGTCCATCAATGCATTGTACAATAAAAAATTACGGATAAAATTCAAGAAACTGTTCCTTTAAGAAAACTGTTGTAGCCAGCTTGTTTATGGATATATTAGCGAATTTCCCTATAGGGAAGTAGCTATTACCGTAGGTCTAATGGTAAGACCTAAGCCCGGGACCGATTTACTTTTTCATTTTGATGTCCCCAGAGGCCAAAAACACCATTCGTTCAAATTTTTATATATCTATCAATTCTGATCAATTATATATATATATACTATATAGATATATATATATATATATAGATATATATAGATTATTATATATAGATATATATATATATACTAGCTGACCCGGCGAACTTCGTATCGCCTAAGTTATAGGTTTCCCCTAAGACAGACCGATGGAAAGAAAGTACCGTTACGTTTAATTTTCAAGATGATCTCGTTCGCATCGCTCAATCACGTCCTGGTTGAAGTTCGTTCGCTACGCTCACTCACCTTTGGGTTGGAGCTCGTTCGCTACGCTCACTCACCTTTAGGTTGGAGCTCGTTCGCTGCGCTCACTTGCCTTCAGGTTAGCTCGTTCGCTACGCTAACTCGCCTCCAGGTTGAAGTTCGTTCGCTACGCTCACTCACCTTTGGGTTGGAGCTCGTTCGCTACGCTCACTCACCTTTAGGTTGGAGCTCGTTCGCTGCGCTCACTTGCCTTCAGGTTAGCTCGTTCGCTACGCTAACTCGCCTCCAGGTTGAAGTTCGTTCGCTACGCTCACTCACCTTTTGGTTGCAAATTAGCTGTTGTCATAAATGTAAAAGAAATAATAGTGCTGCACCCTGTTGGTAATCCTTGTAACTTTAATGCTATTGAACATCATAGAACAGAACCAACTTGTTTAATTGAAACAGCTGTTAAGATTCATTAATTCCATTTCTCATAAGGTTAACATGGGAAACTCCAGAGCCACTGGGGCGGAGCCCTTTTAAGAATTTCGAAACGGGAAATAGTTTACGTCCGATTCGCATACCTACAGAATTTACACACCAAATTTCATAACGATCGGTGAAGTCGTTCCGGAGGAGTTTGCAGACAAACACTGTGACACGAGAATTTTATATATTAGATATATATATATATATATATATATAAATAAAGATTAAACATTAATAAACTTAGTACCCAAGTAAAATTATTTATTACTTTACTTGGGTACTAAGTTTATTAATGTTTAATCTTTATTTATATATAGTAGCCCTATTTTTCCATTTTGCATATATATATGTGTGTGTGTCCATCCGCACGATAACTTGAGTAATTTTTGTCCGATTTTGATAAAATTTGGTTTGAAGGTGTAAGGCGGGATAAACTTGAATGAGTTCGCGAACCAGCATGATCGGACTATGGGAACGGGGGTTTATGTGGTAAAAATAGGTTTTTCCCATTTTTTACCCTAAAAACACAAAATTTCACAATTTCTTTTTAAACCATTTTGTAGAGCTTAAAAAAACAAATAATTTAATATATTGAAGCGTTATTATGCGCCTAATTGTTATGGAGAAAATTTAAAAAAATTGTAATTTTAAAATTCCTATGTTATTCTTATGGAGAATAAGTCAACTGTTGTAGTTTGCTTGTTTATGAACATATTTTGATCGATTTTGGAAAATACTTTTATTTCTTACTAAACTATTATCATTTAATTAAAAAAATCTTTTTTACCCTCCCTGTTGCAGCAAACCTAATTACTCGTTAAACTTATTCTATTTAAATAGGAAATAAATGTGCTATTTTTATGGAGGCATTTTAGTGTAAATCCAATCAGGTTAATGGAAATTCGCTTAGTCTGCAGGTTTGCTGTGGCGGGGGTATTTTTATCTCATTTGGCTAATTTATTTCATTCATCTTTCATTTCTTTATTTCATTCAAAACTCAAACTCAAAAATGTTGATGAAAACAATACTTGGCAACTCTTTAGGTTTACATGTTGTACATTGGATGTAGGCTAATAATTAACTTTATATTAATCAATTGAATATTTTCAGGGGTTGTTTCAAGTACCGGAGAATAAAGAATTTAGAGAATTCTTTACCGAAGAAGTAGAAAAACTGAGAGAAAAAACAAAACACATGACATGTTTTGGTATTTTTACAATGGTTGAAGAGCCACCCGAGGAAACAGAAACATCAGGTGATGTTCGCTTTCTTTATGGAATAGGCCTAAACAAACAATCATACAGAGCACAATGGGTATAGTCAAAATTATGAGTTTAGTAAATTTAAAGAGCGTTGAAAACACAATGTGCTTTTGAAATTCCAGCCTGTTACATTAAAACTTTAAGCAAGTTTAATTATAGTGTCTTCTTATTGTTTCCATTGATACAAATCAATAACTAATTCAAAAGCCTAAACGGCGACTCAAATCATTTTAGTAATTTACGCGTGTTTGTCATACTAAACTCACAAATTTCAACACTTTCCCAATAACCTGTTCTTAAATTTATTTGGAGTAAACTTGATTTCAAATTAGTTAAGGCCCATTAAACGTGTTTTTATACAGCTATGTCATAATACTTTATTTATATATTGCTTTTATATAGGTATATTACCGGTATATATTGTTCATTCAGTTCACCAATCTATTGCAATGAACAACATAAAAATCTCGGGCGACAAGGCTAATCATTTTAACAAGTTATTACATTTTAATCTTTCAAAGCGGAAATATTTATGTGTATAGCATGCTATGTGTCAAAGCTGATTAAAATATATATTGCTAATTTAGTGGGAATTACGTGTAGAGGTTAAGACGTCGGCTGGACCGGGGGTGTTGCCACAAGGAATTACGTGTGGAGAGTAAGCCATCGGCTGGACCGGGGGTGGGGGGGGTGGGGGGGTTGCCACAAGGAATGACGTGTGGAGGGTAAGCCGTCGGCTGGATTGGGGGGGGGTTGCCACAATGAATTACGTGTGGAGGGTAAGCCGTTGGCTGGACCGGGGGGTTGCTACAGAGAATTACGTCGCAGAGTAAGCCATAGGCTGGACTGGGGGTGTTGCTACAGAGAATTACGTTGGAGGGTAAGCCTCCGGCTGGACTGGGGGGGTTGCTACAGAGAATTACGTTGGAGGGTAAGCCTCCGGCTGGACTGGGGGTGTTGCTACAGAGAATTACGTGTGGAGGGTAAGCCGTTGGCTGGACCGGGGGGTTGCTACAGAGAATTACGTTGGAGGGTAAGCCTCCGGCTGGACTGGGGGGGTTGCTACAGAGAATTACGTTGGAGGGTAAGCCTCCGGATGGACTGGGGGTGTTGCTACAGAGAATTACGTTGGAGGGTAAGCCTCCGGCTGGACTGGGGGTGTTGCTGCAACCACTCTCCCCCACTCCACTCCGATAGAGAGAGGGGCGGTTGGCCGTGACATCACCGTTCGGTAGGCTTTTTCGTCGGGAGCCCTTGGTGCGTTCCCTATTTTTGGTGTTTTACTTTTTTCTAAAACCACCTTTCTAAAATGTTTTTCATCACCATATTTGAATTCTACCGACTATTAAAAACAAAATGAATATACGGTTCAATAGCTTATCTCCTCTAACCAATTTTATACAGATTTTGAAAAACCCCCTTACAAATTCACCAAAATAAGCGTGCCACTCCACAAAGCACATACTGAAAATTGGTCTCGCCACTCCTAGGGTTAAAATTCAAAGAAATCTTAAAATCAAAGAGAGGTTAGCAATGGGTTTGATGATGACCTGATATTATCTCATATTTTATTCAACCAGTGTCTTAAATGGTGTTCCAATAACCAAACGACTATGGATACTTGGAAAGCACTGTAATTTTGATTTTAGTAAATCCCTTAATTCCAGCCTAATCATGTAGACTAGTTCCAGTTTTTATTTAGTAAACTGTAGACAAAGTCTTAACTGGCTTCAGGGTTCAGGGTTGAAACCAAGGTCCTGTAGACGTATTAAATTACTCATTTCTGTTTACCAAATGTGTTTTCCAGATCCACTAAGTTGTAAAAATTATTTAAATCGGTGTAAGCATTTGTTTTGGCAAAACACAACCAGCTAAAGATATATCTAAGTTTAAAAAAGTAAGAAGCTTTACCGACCGGGTTGGAGAGTTTAAACAGTGACTAGTTAAAAGGTTCAACCTGTAATTATCAGCTTAACCTTTGCTTACTAAGGTAACTGTAGTGTTATCGTAAGTAAATTAAAATATAGTTTTAACAAGACAAAATTTGGTAGCTTTTACAATAAATCAAGATTCAGAATGTTTACCAACAAAAACTAAACAGTTAATATTCTAACACCATATGTTGTCAAACACATATGAATAACAACACATCTCCCCTTTAAAGATCGAACCTCCAGGTGGTAGGTTTGAATTGTCTTGCGAGCTTAGATTCGCTAAAGGATTTATCTGAGACGCCATTGCAGGATGATCGAAAGGTTCTGATCTTCTCAGGTGTTCTGAAGGACTGGTCTGCAGTGCTGGTTGAGAGTGATCAGAAGGCATAGTAGTGCTAAATCTTTGCAGTGATCTTCTGTTCCTCCGCAAACAACCATCTTGCGTTTGAATTATATAGGATCGAGGTGCACGATGTTTGTTTAATATAGTTCCTTCTTGATTCCTGTCCTTTATATGGACTTGAGCTCCATCAGGTAGAGTAAGCAATTCTGTGGCTCTATGTCTTTTGTCAAAATAAATCTTTTGACGATCAATTCTTGCTTCTTTCATCTTTATGTACTGTATTGCTAAAACAATAAAAAAACCCGCTGCCACCATGTAGTAATATCTTAAGTTAAATTAAAATATAGTTTTATTTAACAAGACAAATACTTTATTGGGTAGCTTTTACTATATATCAAGACTAGCAGAGTACCCGTCCTTCGTACGGGGTGGCATATAAGTAAAAAAATGTTTATAGCAGTTATACTCAACTCAAGCTTTGAAACTTGCAATGGGGGAGGACACATTTTGATAAAATTTGCCTCTTTAAATTTACGGTATACTATAGTAAAAACACATCTACCATAGCAATAATATTCCACCACTTCATCTAAACAATATAGAAAAACAAATTATTAAAAGTTCACAAAATATCAAAAATAATTCATGAAATTAAAAACATAAACACAACTGTAAACAATCCTACTTTGACAGTTCTCATTGCATATCACAGTTTGTTGTTGCTGCTTAGTTAAAATTAGCTGTTTTCATAATTGCAAAAAAAATAGTGCTGCACCCTGTTGGTAAATCTTAAAACATTTAATGATTTTGCATATCATAGAACCAACTTTTTTAAGTTGAAACAGCTGACTAAATTATTTAATTCCCTTTAAATATGAATACTCATAAGGTTAACATGAGAAACTGCAGAGCCACTGGGGCGGAGCCCGAAAGGATTTTTGAGATAGGAATATGCCTATATGTTAAACGGAAACGTGAGCTACCATCATGTCAAATTTCAGCCCAATCTGTCCAGTAGTTAATGCGTGATTGAACTTCAAACAAACAAACACACAAACTTTCACATTTATAATATTAGTAAGATTCAGAATGTTTACCAACAAAAACTAAACAAATAATATTCTAACACCATATGTTGTCAAACACATATGAATAACAACACATTAACATAACCAGTAACCACTGTTATAAAGTATGTTCAATGTTGAATTTTTCGCCTAAACAATTTACCAACTTGCCTTATTCCTAACTTTCACAGCTCTTCCTATTTTATGTTAACTTGGCCTATTAAACCCTTTTCTCTTAATTTTAAAAATACGAGGGTCGCCCAGAAAGTAAAGAACGTTTTAGCATAGCTAAATAAAACAAAAATCAAAAATATATCAACACTAGCTGTAACCCGCGGGCTTTGCCCCGTTTAACTTCTTAATTTTCAAGATGATCTCGTTTGCATGGCTCAATCACGTCCTGACGTCCTGGGATGGAAGATACCCAAAGCAGTTGGCTATATAGAAACCACTGTTGAACTTTACATCTTCTTTCAGCCTATAATAATCTGTGAATATCAGTTTAAACTTATATTTTGTTTCTAGATGACCTAATTTACTCAAGTGAAGTAAGCCGTTTGACCCCATTAGACTTTTTGGTTAGATTGGATGAAAATGGAGCTGCAAATTTGGTATGATTTTAATTTATTTATTATTTAGCAACCTTTATATAGGCCTTTTACTTAGTTTATTTTTTGTTTGTACACTTCAATCATATAGAATTGGAAGAGTGATAACTTGTGAAGAGAAAAAATCACTGCCGGAAATAATGAAGGAATATTTGGAGAAAAAAGGAAAAGAAAACAAGACCGGGAACATAAACTGACCAAAGTAGTCTAACGGAGACCATAAAATACAATTAAAATTTCCTTTGTCTCATGTTAGCATAGTAGACAACAAACAATTGGTCAGATTTACCATATAGGACATAGACTACAAAATCCTTATTAATGTTTATCAATTGTACGCATCAGCTTTAGTTTGCTTTCCATTCAATTTAAAATGAAAATACCATATTGTGATTAGGACTAGGTGTAGGGGGAGAGCCATGTAACTATCCCCAGACACTAGGATGGAAATATTAAGTATATTATACTGGTCCAGCCAAGCTCAAATATGTTAGTTAAATATGTACAACCTGTTTTTGTAATAACCACAAAAATGTTTTTCTAAATCAAATCTGGACCAGTATTTGCACCCCAGAGCTAATCAGAACCAGGTGACACACTAATAGCCTCACTCGTCGAGTCTGTTGTGTTTGTTGGGGGTGCACAGAACCAGCGGGTGGCCTGGTCAGTGTGATCTGAGGTGAAAAGTACTTTAATCCCCTGTATAATGGTTAAACAGGAGTGGCTAGTTATATTTGTATTTTCTTTGTTTCAGCCAGAAGACGATTGGGTTGCCATCAGTGCTGATGAGTTTTGGAGTGATGCGCTACCGAATTCAGATTCCCATGATATGAACAGTAATGTCACAGACGCAGATGACAATGATTGCAGTTCTATTTCCTACTATATATCCAGTGATGAGGATGATAGTAGTGTCATGAGTGATGAGGATGAGGAGATTGAGGACTTGATAGATTTCAATGAATCATTTGCTAAAGGTATGCAAGTATGCTAGTGATGGTTTTACAAACACTTTGGTACTTTATTTATATTAATAATCTATCGCTTCAAACTCATAAAACAAATTACGCTCAATTCAGATTGCTTAAACCATTTTACCTTGTTTTTTTTTTATTTTAATTGCAAAATTTAGTAAAACATAGGCTTACTACACAGCTGTGCTCTCTAAAAGTTGTCCCTCAATAATCTGGCCCAATATCATAACTAGGAACTAGTAGATAAATGAAATTGCCGGATTAGTTTATCATATTGAATAGTAATGAGTAAAAAGGGGGAAAATTAAAAATTGAGTGGGCCTATGTTTAAAGATAATGGCAAAATCATAAACATTCTGGTGTTTTCAAAGACAGCATAATCGCCTCCCGCAATCTTGATGTAATTGTGAACATTGCTTATTGCAGAGATATTGCGAGTTTTCAATTAGGCCTACACAATTTTCACAGAAACTTTCTGCAATCACAATAATATTGCGAAAATAAAAGCTCGGCTTGGTTGATTTTGGTCATTCATCTGACTTTAGACTGGACTCAGTTTGGCTTGACAATTGAGCCCTCACACACCTAGAATCTTGACATTAGCTTTCATAAATACTAATATTCAAAACACATCACTTTCCTTTCCTGCAAATTGACACAAATTGAATGGAGACACACAATGATATGAAAATGGTTATAAAATCAATATCTCTTACTGCTGGATTACTTGATGGTCTTTTGAGTGCTCATCTATATCATATACTTAGAAAATAGAATATCACACAACATAAACATAAGAATGTTGAGAAGCATTATTTTGGTGGTATTATTGATGCCTGTTGACTGGAACTCTATAAATCTGTTTGGGTTGGAAGAAATTACACTGAGAATATATAATATAGTAATCTTTAGTCAGTTTAATAACAGTTTTTCTTTTTTTCCAGAGGAGTAATTTGTGGAGTGCCAGAAGAGTGCCTTCTTCATTACCAAACCACAGTACAATTGTCCAGACATTGTACCATGTAGTACAAAGAGACAGTTAAGATATCATTTGTATTAAGGTTAAATATGGTCCAGTTGCCTTTTTTTCAATTCAGATTTATTTAACTACCTAAGTTTTTTAAAGATCCACATAGTTTTCAAGTTTTACCGCGGTTAATAGGGTCGTCAGTAACATTTTGTGCCTTAATAGATCCAAAATGCTGAAATGAATTACTTTTATTAATTCTGTAAGTTGCATGATAGGCTACAGTATTCAGAAAGATAGAAGATGAAAAAATATAATAAGGCAGTCCATTGTAGTTGTAATGAAAAAGGAAAAGGAATTTGGTTACCATTATTAAAAGTTAAAAATATATGTACCATAATATGTGTCTCCCTGTAATTTCAATAATTTTCTCAGGTTATACCATTGATTCCAAGTGATTTTTCCCTATGGCTATGATATAATTAATGCATACAATTATGGTTACCATATCATACAAATGTGCAACCATCTTGTTACTTGTTAGTTTGTAAAACTATGAACTAATTTAGAAATGAAGATAAAATTTAAGTTATTTATCTTCAGTGTTTTTTAGGTCAATAAATTGACATTCCTAAATACAGTAAGTTTCTTTGAACCATAATCTAGTGACCGAACTTCCGTTTGATATACTGTAGATTGTTTCGAATTAAATATAATTGATTACTTCTTCAGTGTACTCTTTAGGTATTCTTTAAGTACAAGATAAATTAGTAGTTCCAACGTCAAGTTTTCTAATTTTTTAAACAAAATTGTACAAACTTCCAAAATTACTACAATATAAAATATTTAATAAGAAAAACTAGTTAAAGTTGTTGAAGAAACACAATCAAAAGTACAGTTTACATAAACTGCAAATAAATTAATAAAATAAATTGGTGCTCTAAATTAATCGTATATAAAGTTTTATTTTTTCTATTCATAAAATGTGTTCTAGAGATTAAGCATTGTCTGACCATTTCCTGCCAAATACAGTAAGGGATTGCATGGCTGATAGATATGAGAAGGACAACTAATATTATGTTCCTGTTTGTGACTTTAATTAAGTATTATTTGTTTGTGTGTTTGTTTTTTCTTAAATGTTTATGTTGTTATAGGGTAAGATAAGATAACCCATCCCCAATAACCAGATTTCACTTTTGTACTGATCCTAGTTCCTATATAAAAAGTGTTAAGTCAACATGTTGTAATTTTTATTTTTACCACCCACGCCATACCACTTTACACTTAATTACTGCTGCTTCTAGCATAGAAGGGATCATGGAAATCATAGATTTGGATTTTGTTTAGGGAACTTAGGAGCCTACACCCAGAGTAACTACCTGTTAACATAAATATCTATAATATATAAAGATTAATACATTGGTTTTACTTCTTAAACTCGATTCCCCTAACATTATTAGGAAATAGAAATATACAAATCACTATTCCTTTTTTAGTTTTTTGCGTGTTTGCAGTTTTGCGGTGCACGTCTGATTAAATTAAAAATAATTTATTCATAACGGTATTACAGTTTTATTTCCATCCCTAATAAAGTTGAGTTAGAAAAGATTATTAAATATAAAGTAGCTACTGTACATATAGATGCCTGTAGATTCCACAAACGTAATAAGAACATGGTCAAGTTTGATATCATTTTACTTATTTGTTAGGTTAGGGACTTTTTGCTAGTAAATATAAAAAATTGAAATTTTGTCCAGCACTAAAAAGTTAATAAGTGCAGTGGGGTTGCATGACTAATTATCGAAACAGCTGCTTGAGGAAGTGGCCGAGCAAGGGACGGTCCCGGCCCGGTCGCAGGTAGTCTAGGTCAGGTACTTTAATACTTTCTTATGAAATGGCGACTATACAATGTAGGTATTTTAAGCCTAAGTATGAATGGAGATGAGTGTAGGATGAGTGGCGCGATCTTGTAGTCTTGTTAGTGACTAAGGCCGACATTCCTTAGACACAGCTGTTAATTAATAGCCCAAACAGCTAATGGCAACTAAGGGACCTACAAATTATAGTGGAATCCGAACCACATTTTTTCCTTGATATATACGAATTGGTCTAATTATCAGGATAGTACTGCGGATAGTCGTAATACTCACTAGTGCGGACGTTAATCCACACCAGGGAGTATCCCATCCACAGTGCATACCTATAAATATCCACAATCCGTGACCTCCTAGTAGCTGGATTACAGGACGACGCCACGGGTAGTCTTAGGGTTCAGACGCTAAGTTAGTGTATAAAAACTAAATCTGTATACAGATAATAGGAAACTACAGCTGTTTCGTGCCATTTATTGGCACATCCTCAGGTTTGGTGAACGCCAGCTTTTCTATAAAATATCCCTCGGTGTTGAGTTTGTCATGGTTTTACAAAAAACATCTACACCTTTACACACACGAAACATTTAAACATTAATTAAGGAACACCTTCGAAACGTGATGCGGCGCCGGTGATAGGTAAGTCGCGACTGTCACATGTCGGCAGCGCTGACCCCTACCCCTGTTCCATCCTTATCTTTTCTTTCTTTGGTTTGGTAATCAGATATCAGGATGGCTGTGTTGTAAATTATATTAGACTCAAAGGACTGTTTTAGTTCAAAATATTATGTGGTTCTTTTGATGGCCTTATATATTTTGTATTCTTCTATTGTGTACATATGGCGTCCTTTATTGCAAGAGTGTAAAATATCTAGATTATTGTGAATGTCTGTATAGTTATGGTTTGTGGATGTTAGGTGGTTGGAAAAAGCTGATTTAGAGTTCTTTTTTGGTAGGTGCTCTTTAAATCGGGTTGTGAAAGATCTGGCAGTTTGTCCTATGTAAAAGCTGGGACAGTTGTCATATTTTAATCTATAGATTCCTGTTTTGTTCTTGTTATCTGTGTGAGATTTGTTCTTGACTCTGACTAATGACGACAGCTTTGTTTGTAGTCTTAAACGATACTGTTATATCATTTTGTGCCAGTTCTTTTTGCAGAGTATTATTTATAACGACACTGAATTCAGCGCTAACGTATTTTTTATTAATTTCTTTGGAGGTTACTTCGGTTCGGCTACGAAGTTTTGTAATCAATATGTCTATGAGGTTGCTACTGATGTATCCATTTGACACTGCAATATGCTTTAGTATCTTAACTTTGTTATTGTAGTTGGTTGGGTGGAGTGGTATAGTGAGTAAGTTAGAAGATGGATTGTAAGCGGGTAATTTGTGGCTATAGGGGTGGTGTGATGATGAATGGATAGTTCGGTCAGTTGTAGTCAGCTTCCTGTAGATGTTGAATTCTAAGTTACTGTCTTTTCTTGTTATAGTGAGATCCAGGAAATAATATATTTATATTCTTCCGTTTCAAGAGTGAATTTCTTATTTTTATGTACATTGTTGAGGTATGTTTAAAGTAGGCCTATGTTGATTTATAAACAGTTACATAGGGAAAACTGAACCCATAAGCCAGAACAGCAGTTGTTGCCATCGAGTATGGTCATATATTGAATAACACAGTACAGCGTGAGCTCTCAAAGAATATGTCACTGTTTCCTTCAAAACATCAGACAAACTTGCTAACATATTAAAGGACAGGAAGAAACCCTCCAATAACACAAATATCATGCTAAAAACAGGAGTTTATAAATTAAATTGAAGAAGCTGCCCCAGCTTTTATATTGGTCAAACTGCCAGATCTTGTAACACCAGATTTAAAGAACATTTACCAGGCAAACATAATACTAAATCAACGTCTTCCTACGCCAACCATTTAATTGATAATAACCACAGTTACTCCGCCATTCACGACAATCTCGAAATCTATATATATAAAGCTCAAATACCACTGACTCACTCACTCATCACGAAATCTCAGAAACCATAAGACCTAGGAACCTGAAACTTGGCAGGCATCTTCCTTTTGGGTAGTAGACGCTCACTAAGAAAGGATCTTACCCTCCGACCTCTGGGCTCCGCCCCAGTGGCTCTGGAGTTTCCCATGTTAACCTTATGAGTACTCATATTTAAATGGAATTAATGAATCTTAACAGCTGTTTCAGTTAAACAAGTTGGTTCTGTTCTATGATGTTCACTAGCATTAAAGTTACAAGGATTACCAACAGGTTGCAGCACTATTATTTCTTTTACATTTATGACAACAGCTAATTTGCAACCAAAAGGTGAGTGAGCGTAGCAAACGAACTTCAACCTGGAGGCGAGTTAGCGTGGCGAACGAGCTAACCTGAAGGCAAGTGAGCGCAGCGAACGAGCTCTAACCTAAAAGTGAGTGAGCGTAGCGGACGTGATTGAGCCATGCGAACGAGCTCACTTATGAAGTTAAACGGGGCAAAGCCCGCGGGTTCAACCAGGACGTGATTGAGCCATGTGAACGAGCTCACTTATGAAGTTAAACGGAGCAAAGCCCGCGGGTACAGCTAGTTCTCCATAAGTGCAATAAAGGCTGATTCATGGACACTATGGATGAATTTGAAATGTATAAAGCCGTCAAAAAAGAACCCCAGAACGTACTAAATGAACAAAGAGGGTTCAAATCGAACATTATGAATCAGTAATAAAATTGGCAGAATGGTCGGCTCCACTATCATCAACAAAAGATAAGGGAGGGGGTGGACAAAGGACTGCAACCTTGATTACGCTAGTCTAGACTTGCTCCTCGCACGTGCCGCGCATAAATCAACCCATGAAAAATGTTAATGACTCTTACGTGTATATTCGTTTTTTTATTTTCGTGTTCGTCTCCGTATTTGAGTTCTTGTAGTTTAATGTGACAATTTTGTATGAATGACAACTCTTGACTTCCTTTGACACTTGAAGAAAGCCCCCTGAGGGTGCAGTAGTGTAATACTACTCCAAATATCACCTGACAGTTAAGGTATTTAAACCATTTTTTATTTAACTAAAGTGATTCGGAGTCTAATATCATGAAAATATAGAAAAATCCTGGAGATGTATAATAACATTAATAAAACATTTGTATTGAAAATAAAAACATTTATTTCAATCACAAAGATATTTTTTATTTTCGTTTCACAGCAGCTTTTTCTTTTTTGAAATGATTGGAAACCTGAAACAAAATATTTGATGTTAATAGTATGATACCAACATGAGATAAAATAATGTTGCACGGTTATGTAACTGCAAATACAAATGTAAAATTTCAAATACAAAAATCACAACGAAATGGACAAAAATAATATATTCCAAGATTTAATTGAAAAGTGATTTGAATATGGTAACAATTTTTACAACAAGCTGCAGAAAAAGCAAAGAAATTAAATTTGCAACGCAAATTGATACTTCAATTGCTTGCTAGACTAAGTTAACTATAAATTAAACTTTAACTGAGGGAATTTTAAAAATCAAATTGACTTGGATTCAGAAAGAAATAAAAGAAAGAAGATAGCCTTGTTCTTATCCTAAACTGAAGTTTTTTTTCTATTCAGTTTACTTAATTTTGTTCTTTATTTAGAAGTTTGTGGATAAATCTGACACAAAAATATTTTCTTTCATTAGATTGTCAACCACCAGAATCATGGGTAAGTACAACAATGGGGTGTTGCACTATTTTGTCCAGAGTTATTATAAGGACCATAACATACTGATTTTAATTAAAACCGTTTTTTGTCAGATTTTTGTATTTGATGTGGTAATAACATATTTTATAATAACTTATGAACTGTAATTTGTACAGTAATGGGAGTTGCACCATTTTGTTTAGAATTTAAAGGACTATGACATACTAAATTATTATCAACAAGGCCATTTTTGAGAAAATTAGAGTTTTCGGTTTTCATAAAAAAATCACTATTAAAAATTTAAAAAATAAACAAAAAACGCCTGGAGATACCATGTATTAGTGCCTACATACCAAATGGCAACAAAATTGGACAACAGGCGTGGTCCAGCCATGTACACATCCAAACATACAGACATAACTTCAAAAATATTTTGACTAAAACAATACTCCATAACTATGGTATAGGCTACCAGGAGAAAGTAGAAATGTTTAAATCTTAGCTGAGCCCTTTTATAGCTATAACAATGTTAGGTAAGCTTTAATAAGTAATTTAAAATTAGACAATGCTATGAAGTCCTAATATACATTTACCACGAATAATTGATTTTTTTAAACTATTATATTAGAACTTCAATAATTCAGCCCAAAAAATCCAAACACTTCAGTAATCTGGCTCAATGCCATAAAATAATTAATAGCCTAAAATAAATGGTAGATCTATGTATTTTATTTTATACATTACATTAATTCCTGTATCTAATATCCGATTAATATGGTATACAATAACAATTCAAGTGTGTCCAAAAAACGTAATACAATGAGAAAGACAGGTCACTATGCATTCACAGACAAGCTGTCTCCGTCAAACACTAGACTCACACTGGCTGTTTATGTGTAACATAGCGAGAAAGGCTTGGAGCCGGGACATCCACATGCGTGAGAGAATACACTTGTATAAGGCGCAACAGAAGTGTCAGGTTCAGGTAGGCTGGATGTAAGACAAGGTCAGATTATTTAAATTAGCAAATTGAGGTTGAATTAAACTCTTCAGGTTGGCGGACAATTAAAAAAATGTTTCAACAGCGAACATATTAAGCTTTACAATTAAGAATCTACTGTATTAGTAATCAGACTTTTTTTATTAAAGAAAATTGGCACACTGAGGGCAGATGATGGGTTTCATTACCTACTAAATTAGTATACTTTCACATGGCTAGTCCTCAGCAGTAACAGTTGGGGATAGTGATGTGACAAACGACTGATTTCAAGCATCCGATAGTCTTCAGATCGATGATTAATCCGATAGTATTCTAGTGTAGTGGGGTGAAATGAAATGAAAAATGTTTTTATTTAAGAGGAGAAGTTAGGACTAGCAAGTCCTCTCTACCACTTAACCTCTCAAACATAAATAAAACTATTCACTTTATAAATAAAATAAAATAATCTAAAGTAGGCCTACCACATTTTAAACATGATGAAATTAAATTTACTAATCCTAAAAAAAGTCCATTCACAGAAGCTACCAAACAACCCGCCACACCAGCGCCAGAGACTCACTCATGCCTGTTGCTCAAAGTAATAGATGGGGTGAGGAGCGACCGTGCTGCTGCCGGACATACAGGGTGATTGAAAAGTCTGTGTACGGCTTAATATTTTGAAATATAATGCAGATTGAGCTACAATACTTGGTACAAAGTTACAGGGCATAAACCTCTATTTTAACACATATTCAGTGATCCAATAACTCTTCAGGGGGACGGCCCACAAGGAGACGGAAGAAAATCTTAAATGGAAGCATAGGTCAATATACACATCAAATTAAAGGTCTTTTTTAGTAGAATACAATGCCGCAAACCGTACTTCAAAAGGTTGATTCTGCGCAAAATGGCAGATGTTCAAAGATTTCTTGAATCCGCCATTTTGAATCTTTGAACGACTGTAATTTTTTACTCAGGCATTCTTTTGAGCTTCAATTTACGGCATCGTAATCTACTAGTGAAGACCTTTAATTTGATGTGCATATCGACCTATGCTTACGTTAACAATTTTCTTCCGATTCCTAGGGCTGTGCCCCCTGAGGAGTAAGCGTATAATAGCAATGTAAATTAAATGAATCTTTGAACAACTGTCATTTTGCGCAGGATCAACCTTTTGAAGTACGGTTTGCGGCATTGTATTCTACTAAAAAAGACCTTTAATTTGATGTGCATATTGACCTATGCTTCCATTTAAGATTTTCTTCCGACTCATTGTGGGCCGTCCCCCTGAAGAGTTATTGGATCACTGAATATGTGTTAAAATAGAGTTTTATGTCCTGTAACTTTGTACCAAGTATTGTAGCTCAATCTGCATTATATTTTTAAATATTAAGCCGTACCCAGACTGTTCAATCACCCTGTATAAAACTATACGAATAGCGAATGAATAGATAGACCATCTGCCCTGATAAGATAGATAGTTTTGGTAGAGTTTGGTATTTGGCGTTCCTATTCAGTGCCATATTTAGGAGAATTTAACTATGCATGAATAAACAAATAAATCATCCGTTTGAGTGTTTTAGATGTTTTGCCTGATTAAAGAACTATCTTTTTAAAATTCTCTAATTTTATTCAATGTATTTTATGTAATGTATGAAAATTACTTCCCTCTTCTATGTTTAATTTTTTACAATAAATATTTACTTATTTTTAATTTGTTTGAAAAGTTATTTAAAAAATTATATGTTACCTTTTTACAAGGTTTGTTATTTGCTATTTAAGGAGACAATTCCCATATTCTAAGTTGCTTGATTATTTTAGCTATTTAATCTTTTGATGTCTCCAAATTTATGACCACTCGGTATATTTGATTTATTACTCACTTAAAAAGCTATCAAGACTGTTAATATACTAATTAAATAATAATATTATTAATAATTTAAACCAAAAGTAATTAATATCTGCATGAATGCCGAATGCATAAGTTACTGTTGAGCTGAACAAATAATTTAACTACGAATGGATAAATAATAACAATAACCTATTAAATACTCTAAACTTAAGTAGATAATTAAATAAGGTAAAATACTAACTCTTAATTTGTGCAAATACAAGGTGTTCAATAATAAACAGTCTCAGTTATCAAATAACTAATTCATAGTTCAAACAAATGAAAATGAGGGACAGATAGTTATACAATTTAATGAAAATGTGGAATGGGTGGTTTTACAGATAGATGAGATACCGGTAGTTCATTTGGCTGATTTACATGTGATAGAATGGAGGGTTCATCCGGATTAAAATTAAAGTAACCATCGTATTAATCGGTTGGGGCAACAACCAGATGGATTGTTTGTTTCTATCGGATAGTTCCCGTCACTAGTTGGGGAATAATTCTATCAATTCCACTCTGGCCAAATTAAAAGAAGATAATTTGAGTTTGGCTGTAAACGTCATCTGATAAAAATCTAAAACATTTACGAACAACAATTACCTGGGTGTGCAATGTCGAGAACCCATCTCTAGATTTACTAAGTGTGAGATGTTTTGACAGACTTTGAACAAACTGTGAACTTTCATTCACTTTCACCACTCCAGTCACATTCTTGGCTGGTGGAGGAATGGCAGGCTTAAACACTACTTGGCTCGGGTCAAAGTTGTCAAATATCTGGACACAATTTCTGGAAAAATTTGATTAAGCATTACAATTTATTTACATGAATGTATTATATGAATGTATTATTATATATGTATATGGACCAATTGAGCTGAGAATTGGAATATTTTAGATCAACACAATTTATATAAAAAAATAACTCTTTGAATAATAGATGTAATTGATTAATAGTAACTTACAAATTGCTGATTTCCATTGGCATCTGTGAGGTGCTGTTTTCACTGCTCACAATGTGCTGGGCAAGATTCCTTACAGTCGGATGGTAATGCCTCTGAAAACGTTATAAATAAAATGTACTAAATCTTGCATAATAACTGAGAATTTAAATTCAGACAAATTAAAATAATTTAACGGTAAAATTATATAAAATTGCCAGTTATTATAACATTATCGTCCCAAATATTTTTGACAGAGCTAATTTTTTAATAGATAGTATAAAAGATCCATAACTAAAGGATAAAGGATCCAACACTGCTTTATTTTTATTTACACTTATACTGTAATTATTTATAAGGAAATTTTTTTTTTTTTTTAATACACATAAGTTACTTGTAATATAATTTAGCCACATTGACCGTTGTCACTAATGTAGGCTAAAATTGGAGAGGTCATTTTGCCAAAATAATTGATATAACATCTCATAAAATACCAGTAAACTTTTTGTAAACAAATAGTTTATGAAGGCCTAATTTCACCTTTTGAGTGAAACTCAGTGAAACACTGTGAATTAATCGATTAATTATGACAGAAGTGGAAGAAGTTCCGGACCATTCCTCTTAAATTTAAATTGCCTATAGCTAACCAGATAGGAAAAATATTTGTTCATAAAACAAAACAAGTACGTACCCATAGACAAAAAGAATTAAATATAGACCGTCAGCTGTGCTGCGGTTACCAAAGGTTCTGACCCACACCGCTTGGAGCGCCATGTAGTTATGGCGTACACGCTTCGTAAACTACAGCGGTGTGCGCAACCATGGTAACCACAGCATGGCTGACAGTCTATCTTTAATTCTTTTTGTCTATGACGTGCCTACAGATGTGACATTATTTTTATTTTGTAAATTTAATGTTGGTAGCAATCTTAGAGATATTATACTTACTCAGCCTAATAGAGCAGTTTAAGCTCCTAACATAAGGGAGTGTTGCAACTAGTTTTCTAGTGCAGACGCTCACTATCAAGTTCAACAAACCATGGGTACCCAATAATGTATAGGATTTTTTGAAAAAACAGAGTAGCTGTTCCTGCAGACTAGGCAAATTTCTATCTGATTATATTTTGACTAAAATATTTCTTTAAATGTGTCAGATTGATTGCCAATTTAAATAAGAATGGATTTAACACATACTTAGCTTTGCTACAACAGGGAAAGGGAAAAAGTGTTTTCTGATAAAATTTTAATGGCATAGGATAAAAAAAAAACTTGCCAAATGTGATAAAAATATATCCATAGATAAGCAAGCTTTAAGAGTTTTATTTTTATCTATAAGAATAATATAGGAATTTAAAATGTACAGTTTTTTTGAAATTTTCTCTGTAACCCTTTAACAGTTTAAAATTGTTTTTTAAGCATTACACAATGGTAGTAACATAGACAAAAAAAAATAAATATAGACTGTCAGCCATGCTGCGGTTACCATGGTTACCATAGGTTCCGGCGCACACCGCTGTAGTTTACGTAGCGCGTACGCTGTAACTGCATGGCGCTCCAAGCGGTGTGCGCCAGAAGCTATGGTAACCGCAGCACAGCTGACGGTCAATATTTAATTCTTTTTGTCTATGGTAGTAATAAAAACCGGGCATTTTTATGTTTTCAGGATAATTTTTGTTTTTTATTTGAAAAACTTTAACCCTTTGCACTCCGACGTCCAAATTATCGGACGTTGTAATTTCGGCCAAAAACTCCGTGGTCCGAAATATCGCACGTCAGCAAAGTCTCCCGAAAAATCCGACGTCCGAAATATCAGTAGTAAAATCGATCGTACTGGCTATATAAATAGTCCAAACGCGCTAATATTATGACATATTTGTTAGAAAGAGTTGTGAAATATTACTCTATGCTTTTTTTCTCCTTTCGTAGCTGTAATTTTGTGCTTGTCATCTTTTGTTTTTGTGGTCTATGGCGCTGGCCGGCTGACGCAATCTAGCTGTCTGCAGTAACTGGGAGGTCGGTGTTTGTTTGCTGTTTGCATTGTTATTGTTTATGTTTACTGCTAATGTTTCTGTTTACAGTTTGTTTAGAGTAAAATTTTAACCTTTTATTTATTTAGTTTACAATGGAAGATTCAGACAGTCCTGATGAAGATATTTATAACAGTAACAGACGCAGACGACAATCACCAGTTAGCGAAAATACACTATTCAGAAACGTAGTGGAATCTGGTGTTGGTGTTTATGATGACTTGAGTGACAGTTTTGTGGAAAACATATCAGATTCTGAAACTTCTGATAGTGAAAACGAAAGTGATGTTTTGTCAGGTTTTGATGATGATACTGATGAAGACCCTGACTATGTTTTATCAGAGGAAGAAAGTTCAGATGAAGATGCTCAACCTACAAAATCTCGTGATAGAAATATGCCTCTTGGTAGGCCTAGTGACATAGCTGAAAGTAGGCCTGTTGAGTTTGTAATTTTGAATTCAGGTAGGCCTAGTCCTAACCTAGCTTCAAATGGTAGGCCTAATCCCTCAACTAATCAATTGCATGATACCCAATTGCATGATACCAATAATGTAGATTTAATCCAAATTGTCCTTGATGAAAATGTAGGCCTAAATGAGCCCCTTTTGAACAATGAAGTAAATGTAAATGCACCCCTTTTGAACAACGAAGTAAATGTAAATGCACCCCTTTTGAACTTGAATACAGTACATGCTACTATTGAAGATGTAATAAGAAATTCCGAACGTTGTGTAACCCCTAACCCTGACCCTGATATTCCACCAGATATGGACCCTAGTGAAGAAGAATGGAAACCTGTTCATGAAAGTGATGACCCTGGATTTGACCATGACATTTTATTTTTCGAACAACCTGGTCCAAAGCACTGTCTTCCTCGTGATTCTGAACCGATTGATTATTTTTATTTATTTTTCACGGTTACAATCCTAACAAAATTTGTAAGAGAAACTAACAGGTATGCTAATCAGTACATCGAATCACATCTACATAATTTGACCCCTAATTCTAGAGCCCGTAAATGGAGACCGGTAACACTAGCTGAAATGAAGGCATTTATTGCAGTAATTTTAAATATGGGCCTAAATAGGAAACCGACAATTCAGAGCTACTGGGCAACATCTGACTCCCAATATACTCCCTGGTACGGAAAGATGTTTAGTCGATCTCGTTTTGAAAGTATTATTCAATTTTTTCATATGGTAGACAATTCAAATTTGCCTAAAATTGGGGAGCCTGGATATGACCCTTGTGCAACATTTTTGCCTCTGCTAGAAGCCGTCAACAGACTGTTTAGGCTGTACTACACACCACACCGTGAGTTGTCGGTTGATGAAAGTTTGATCGGAACTAAATCAAGATCTCAGTTATTGCAATACCTCCCAAACAAACACCATCACAAATGGGGTGTAAAGTTATGGATGCTGTGCGATTCCATTTCGAGGTATTGCCTTGCGTTTTATTGTTACAAGGGAACAAAAAGTACTGGACAGAAAACCACAGGCCTAGCCTACAAAGTTGTCCACAAACTGCTTGAGATAGGCCAGTATCTGTACAAGGGTTACCATGTTTTCATGGATAACTTTTTTACTAGTATCCCTTTAGCTACAAGTTTGTATGAGAAACTTACATTCATCACCGGCACCGTACGAAGGAATAGAAAAGGCATTCCATCTAAACTAAAAGAAAAATTCGACATTGGCCAAAAGACCTACATGAGAAATGACCATCTTTTATTTTTAGGCTTCAGAGAGAAAAAAAGTCAGAAAAACCCAGTTATTTTATTATCATCTAAACATACTGCTAAGTCTATTGAAAAAATAAAAAAAAGAACAAATGAAAATTTAGTAAAAGAAATTCCTGAAATGATTGATGCATACAACCGTTTCATGGGTGGTGTTGACGGCAATGATCAAATGATGTATTGTTACTTGGATGAGAGACGCACCCTAAAATATTGGAAAAAAGTCACCTTTAACATATTTGCAAGAATCCTCCTAAATGCCTATATAATTTACTCAGAAAATACCAGCGGAAAAGTAATTTCAAGATACCACTTTACCATTTCTATTATTGAGGCGCTGTCTTCACAGTGGTACGAAGAAAAGAATCCTAGTAGAGCCCAAAAAGAAGATGGTCGTGGCAATGGACCAAATAACAAAACTCAATTTGGCATCACATCTTTACCTGGAAGACAGGAGAGGAACTGCTGTGTGTGCAGTCCTCTTAGCACAAGAATGGGAGGCAAGAGGAAAAAAAGCCGTACAATATGTGTTCGTTGTGGTAAAGGACTACATGGCGTTTGCTTCGGCGAACACAAATGCACCAAATAATAACAATTCCTGTTTGTAAATAGTTTTTTTGTCTTGTGTTTGCATAATTTGTAAATAGTTTTTTTGTCTTGTGTTTCAATGATTGACTGCATGGACTTTTTTATGACTTTTGCATGGCATGTTTTATTGAGTATTGTAAAAATTAATGTGGTTGAATAGATTTACTTTTTGAATATTCTCGACATTTTTATTTTGCGTTTTCAACAATCATTAGTGCTAAGCTAAAGGCCCTACACAAAAACTTATTTTGAGTTTTTTCTACAATATTACTTTTACAATACCATAATTTGATTTTTGGAAGAAATAGTTTGAAAAATGTAATGATTTGTGATACAGTCTTGGGGTAACCCTCATTTATCAAGATGCAAGTATTTTGGAGTTCGGACAAAAATTTTCAAATTTGCCTACAACTTCTTCATTTTTCAAGGTAGGTGCATGGAACTTGTGGTGTTTTGTTCAGAACTAAGTAGAGAATTTGAGAATACTAACATTATATATGGTCTCAATGGTTTTTTTTTTTTAGATATACACGTTCTAACATAATATTTTTCTAAAAATAAGAAATCAAACGTATTATAATAAAAAATAAAAAAAAAAAAATTATATTTGATATGGGTTATTTTCACTTATTTTTATGTAGAATTTCATAGGGAATAAAAGGAAACAAAAAGTATGTCTCTATCTGATCAGACAAGGAAGATACATAAATTTTACCAAACGCTTACAAAAATTAGTAAAAATGTCTGGAGTTTTTGGCTAGGCCTATCCGGCAAAGTACCGGCATTTTTGGCTAGGACCAAAAAATTTTTGCCGGAGTGCAAAGGGTTAAACCCCTTGAACATTTTGTTCCCATAACCCCATCTTACTTATTTGCGAACTCATTCAAGTTTATCCAGTGCTTCACATTCATTCCAAATTTAATCTAAATTGATCCAAAATGACTTGGCATATCTTTTTCACAAACACGCATATGTATATATATATACAAATTTTACGAATAGTGTTTTTAGGCGTCTGGGGACATCAAAATGTAATGTAAATCAGTCCCGGGTCTATGTCTTTTCTTACTATCTAATAGCTTCTTTCCTATAGAGAAATTCCCTAAAATAAAAATGAAAAATGATATTATTATCATTTAACAAGTTAGTTATGAAAAATATTGCATTTTAACACATTTTTTTGTTATTCCGGCCATTACAACAGTTAAGTAAATAATTCAACAAGATTCGGACCTATTTGGTTTGGATTACTATCTCTTTAGTGTAAAAAACATGAATGTTTTGCACCACTTGATAATGCTGAGAAAAACTTGAGGAATTCCAATAGCCTACGATGTTTTGTTAAACAAAATCAAAATTTGCAAGCACTACCAATACAGTTAGTCATAAATATCTGATACAACATCGATGTAAAAAAAAAACTTTTAATTGGTAATATTTACATATTTTTCATTTTCCTACATATTATGTAGGAAGTTTATTTGCAGCAGGAAACAGTAAAAATTATAACTACGTTAATATAATTAACAGTTTAAACAAGTATTAGTGATACTACAACAACAACCTGCAGCTAAAAATACCTGCAAGAGAGATAGTTCCCATAATGCAGTGCTGGCAGGATTACAATGTTCAGGTTCCTCTAGCTCTGGATTGTATACTCCCTGTCCTAGAGTGGGATCAACATCCAACAAAACATCCACACCCATGCCCAGCTGCAACATACATTACCAATATACAATATCAAATTCAATAGAGACAAATCAATCAACTTTATATTGACTTAAATAGAATACACATGATTACAATTCACCCTCAAGATAGAAAAAAATCTACATAATTAAAATTATAATAGTTCATTTTGTTTGTGATTAATCCAAAGACACAAAGTTTAAAGAATAGACAATCAATAATACCACCGCTATCAAAAGCTTGGAGGAGTCACAAATTGGAACCGACCCAACCATATTCATAATTTTCAGTAAGGTTTAACTGCAAAATTTACAGATCAATACAGGTTTTTTATGTTGACAAAATTCAAAATCTCATTCCCAGTTTTAAGGTTTTCATGTTTCAGGTGTATATACCTTGTATTATCATCCTAGATATTATTCGTTTTCGTTTTCCTTGTATTGGGTAGAGAGCATAGTCAGGCTTTGGTGCCGCTATTGGTTGAATAGAGGGGAGAGTGGGGCTTGCTTATGATAAACAAAGGGAGAGTCGACATCCACTGTTCGGTAGCCATAATGTAGTGAGCAAATTAGTAGCACTTATTTTGTGCTTATTTACACCTGTCCAACTCAATCAACAGTGAAGCATGCTATTAGTTTACAATTTGTAGTTACCCAGCCACGAGCAATAGCAATTAATTTTAAATTTAGGAAATGCTTTATAAGATCAACAGGGAATTAGTACATGGAGAACATGTTTAATAACTACAAAATATTGAGTTTCAGCATTACTGTTATCTCTAAAACATTCTACGAGGAAACAAGCTCATGGTCTTGACATTTATTTGACTTGACTTTAAACATCACCTCTCCACCTCAAATGGGTTAACCGAAACGGTTCCATAAAATAATACAGGCCTAAATTATAAGTAATATGTAATGTAAAATGCTTGAGTAACTTCTTCAGTTGTTTAGTTTAAAGTATTATCTAATCCAATTCAACATTTCTGTAGCTGAAATAAAACACTGTATTATGAAAAACAAGGGAAACAAAAGACTAATTGAATAGCAAAAGACTGATTGAATAAAAAAGCACTTTGAAAAATCAAAAATTTTAATAATTGCTGCAGACAAGCCATACATGGCTTTTGTAGCTAAATTGTATGAGTTTTGTAAATTTGAATTTTTTTGGAAATAAATGTAAAATTGGATTGAATAAAATATAGACATTAAGACATTGTTTTAAATTCATTTTTCCTACACAATGTGGTATAAATAGGCTATTTTTAGCATGACGGGTAAACCAAAAAATTGGTTATCTGAAATGGCTCTCGCCCCTTTTTTTCGGTAAACTGGGGTTCAACTGTATTCATAATAGACTGAATTTTTACCCGTACGCTTTTTCTGTGCAGGAAATGTCAGAGTGGTATTGACAGGCACATGTTACTGTAAATGTTTTGAGGCAAACATTCACTGATTAAGCATCATGTGGTGTACTGCAACTGTGCCACCATGCTTCACCCTGTATATAACTTTGCATGTATTGATTGAGAATATTGTCTATTATCTGTTGATGGCTACAACTAGGTATCCACACACCTGCATGACTCGTCTGACAATAGCCAAGGCTCCCAAGCAGCCGTTGTGTAGTAACTGGGTCCCAAGAATACTCAATCGTTTGGTGAAGGCTAAAAGTCGCTGGTGAGTGATCTTCTTGCGTCTCTGGATCAGAACTATTTCTAGTATCCGAAGAACAATCTTTACATCCTCATGTGTCTTGCCTTAAAAATAGAACACAAAAATTATTTTTCTTATTAATGAACAGCCGGAGAACTACTTTAGTTACTTCCTAATAAACATTTTTTAAATTATATTTAAAAAAGTAAAAACTTAAGAAAACAATGCACTCATGCAGTTTTTGGTTATTTTTATGTTTTATAGCCTAAAAAAGCCGAAACGAGTCTTATCTCAATTTCTGTCTGTATGTCTGTTTGTTTGTCTGTTTGTCCATTCTGTGGTTGCGTCTGTAACGCCAAAATGTCATTTTACGCGGCCTACTCCTAGAAAACTAGAGTACCGATTAAGGTTCTAATAGTTTTTCTGTATTTACTGGATTGGTTAGAGTGTCTTTGGCTATAAAAACATGGCCTCGCTTCTTTGAAAACAAAATAACGAACCACCAAAAACCCAATTTTGTTCGATTTTTGTCAAATTTTATCCCAATGTTTACTATTACATTTTATGAAATAACGATCAGCTGTTTGGATTAGTTCGGTTGTGTAAAGTGCAAAGTAAAAAAACACAACTGCAGTAGGTGATCGTGGATGTTGCTGCGATCTTGGAAGATCTGCCTGATTTTGCTGTGATCGTACCGTAACGGAGGGTTAACTTAACAGATGTAGCTAAACTCGCTTTTCCAATGTGTTGTTCACTTTTGGTTTCTACTTACTTACATTTCGACAACTATATCGGTACTTTTGCTAGGTACTTAGGAAATAAAACTACAAACGTACAAAACCCCAGATTTGTGCGTTTTTTGTCACATTTCCTCCGAATGTTTGCTAGATATATGTACCTACCGATTATAGTTAGAGATTACGCAATCTTTTAAACGAGAAAACTTTGTTTGGATAAAGGTGGTTTCTTCAAACTGCCATTAATATGTTAACATTAAAATCTGCTTAGAAATAATGCTATTAATGGGAAATAACTTTGATTTTCGAAAACTAAAAAAAATTTTGTAAACCAAAGGAGATTAATAACTTTGGTACTGCACCACATCAAGTGAAAGTTTTTTTAGCAAACCATAGTAAGTTTTTAAAGCTTTACGTTGTTAATGTTAAGTTACATGTTACATGTTTTGTGGCCTATGTATTTATTTATTTATATATTTGCCAACAGATTAATTAACACCTATAATACAGTTTGATTAGAAGGACAGTTTGAATTAGTCGTAAGTACTACAGTTCTTTTCTCAAATGTAAACGTTGGCTTTTGGTACTGCTACTTTTCCTTAGAACCGGTGGTAGCAGTAAGAATAATTTTTACATACAAACACATCACTATTTTCATTTTCACTATTTATTTATAAACACTGCACCTTATTGCTTATTAAATTTAATTGATGTCTTACTGTATAATTTTTAGCGTTTTCTGTCTGGACTCAAAAATGTTGTGTGGACTCAATTCTGTATTTGTGTGTGTATGTCTGTTGGTAACACATTAATGTCCTTATTTTTCGTGGAAAAGACAAGAGCACCATTGTTAATAACAATTTTGACCCGAACAAAGTGTGCAGTAGTGAGGTTGAGGTAGTGTTTTATAGTGATGGTCAAAAACAGAAATTTCGAATCTCAAAACCAAAACCGAAACTAGGGATGGTCAAGTCTCAAAATTTCGGGAAATTTTCGGGAAATTTTAAATCTTGTTACACGAGACGAGATTTCTTTTTGGCCAAGATTTTTATCGAGACGAGAATAAAAAAAAATTAAAAAAATTAAAAACGCCTGCAGAAAGTCAATGCAATACCCGCAATACAGGAAAATTCTCACATCAATTTCACTCTACATAAGAGAAGTCATTAACCTGAGGAGCGTGTTGTAGTTGCGTTTCCTTTGCGAAGGCGTTCTTATTTAACTAATTCTTTAAATGTAAATATTACTTTAATTATTGTAATAATATTACTTTAATAACATTTGAGAAGTTTTGTTAAGTGTAAGCAGTGTGAGGAATGTTTTATTACTATAAAAAGTCAAAACAAGTAATTATTTTATAAAAATTAATATTGCTTTTATTTTATGATTTATTTTATTTTAGGATAAGTTGAACTCTATCCTAACTGATATCACTATGTTTCCTAATCGTAGGCATTTTTAATAAGTTAGGCGTGATTAATAAAAAAATGTTATGCTGATGTTTTTTAATAAAAGATTGTAAATATTCTTGCCTATTATCATTATTTTTGTATTTAAACAGTCATCTAACAATGTTACAAAATCAGGTAAAAATTTTGAACGTGCATTTCCCGTTGTGTATGAGAAGGGAAATCCCGTCTCGATCTCGTCTCGAAATTTTATGAGAAATAAAAAATCTTGTCTCGTCTCGTCTCGAACTAAAAATCCAATCTCGTCCATCCCTATGTTTTAAAAATCGAATCCCGAATCTCGAATCTCAAAACCTAAACGCGAAACTTTTTTACTTAGCTGGTTACAAAGGTCATGGTTACAAAAAATACACATAATCATAAAATGTTAAGTATGCAATCAAAACTGAAAGAGATGGACTCAGGACTGTGACATAACATAAATATGTGAATGTGACTGATAATCTTAAAACCCAATAAAATATATAAATTTTCGTAAACAACTAACAAAAAAAATAAATTAACCTTTAACACCAACATAAACATGAATATTAGATTAATTAGAACATTTAGTGGTTAATATTTCTTTGTGTTTAGTAAATATTGATGTGAAACTGAATTGTACCAGTTATAGTATTTAAGATACCTTTTGAAGTTCAGGATAAAATTTACTTGTTTCGTTACGTTAATGGTGATGTTTGCTCTGTTGCTACCAGCTTGTTTGGAAACAGTGTTAGAAACAATAACAATGGCACAAAAAAATGTCAGCAGTTTCAAAAATAAAACTGCAAAAATCTTCAATTTCGAAACTTTTGAATCTTGAAACTTGGTGATCGAATCTCGAAACCGAAACTTTTCCTAAGTTTTGATGGTTTTGAGATTTGAGATTCGGTTTTGACACATCACTAGTGTTTTAACTACTTTTAACCAGTGTGAAAAGTAACTTTAAATTACAGGCCTACCTTAGGGCTATGCCTCATAGATCTATACTGTAAAGCAATTCCTTTCATCGTTTGATATAAAATATGGACTAACACGATCGGGTGACATTTAATTGCGAAACATTCGTTTTGGCTTTGAAACTGTCAGATATTGTATTTGAGAAGGTTTATATGTATTCATAAACAGTTAGAGTTTTGCCATCATATCTGGAAAAATGCACACTAAATATGCAAACCAACTCCTGTTCTGAATATAAGGTTTTAACTTACTACTAGATTCCCGTACGTAGAACGGGCAAACAGCTAGTGTTAAATAAATATTTCTGCTGTGATGTAAATTAAACATTACTAGTGTACCTGTTGCTCGGCGTTATTTTAAAACGAATAAGTCATTATTTCTGATGACTTGAAAAGATTTGACTCAAAGATTATGGAAATACTCAAGATGTACATAACAGATCGATATAATCTTCTATTCCTTCTCCTTGGTGGTGTTCTATGACTTTTCTATGTTTCCATTTTTGCAAATCGGCTCTTTCAATGATTTACTAAGAATTGCAGCACAGTGTTAATTCAGCTTTCTTTTTAGTATATCAAATTATCCAGGCTCTCTCGTTTTTTTTCTATTGTAATGTTTACGCCAACCCAAATTCAAATAGTAAATATTTCATTTCAACCAAGTCAGTAAATGTGTGTAGCAAACTGTTAACCCTTTGCGATCGGAATGAATATTTGCCGTCATTCCTCAGCGGTCGCGCGGCCAGCTCTACTAATTTGTGGTGGCGACAACAAAAATAAACACCTGTTGTTTTGGCACAAGTGCTGTCATAACAACCGTTGTTTTGGTTCAGTTTTACAATTGAGTTTTTGGTTATTTCCTTGACAGATTTATGTTTATTTGTAGTTTTAATCTAGTTTAAAGTTTTAATGTAAATATAAGTTGATTAAAAGAACATTAGTACATATACTACGTAAACGCGCTACACTTTTATAATAGTTAGGCCTACAATACAATTGTTTTATCTCTTATACGATAAACATTTAGAAGTGCGAATTGGGTTATGTTTGTTGCCTATATTTAAGTAAGTAACTATGGACGACCGTTTAAGATCAGACGAATTGAGAGATCTATTGTTTGCCGACGAAGAAGATGCTGACGATCCCGATATTTATTATGGATCAGACCACGAAAGTGACGTTAATTCAACTGATTTAGCTGCAGAGTATGAGGACTTGGTTTTTGAAGAAGTTGATGATGGATATGAAGCTCAAGAAAATTTTGAAGAGGACTATGGAAGTGATGGAGTTCAAGTAGCCTATGTGGAATTCAATGGACATTTAAGCACGGGAGCAGTACACGAAAGTGGAAATAATGATGGCATGGAAGTTGAAGAGAACAATGGTGAAGGTGCCCAAGGGACAGATAATGAAGAAGGTATGGGTGTGTCGGGACAGTGGAAGGTATGGTCTGAAGGGAATAATAATTTTAATAAGTTTTTGTGGAATGGAAACATGATAGTGGTTATAAACCACCAAATGACCAAACGCTAACAACACCTTTGGACTTTTTCCAGCTTTTTTTCACAAATGATTTAATGTTAGAGATAGTGAAAGAAACAAACCGGTATGCTGCAGAAAAGATACAGAAGAATACACCACTCCAGAAGAAATCTATCTGGCTTTCGTGGAAAGACCTTACACTGGAAGAGTTGAAAGCTTTTTTTGGACTCATAATTAACATGGGGATGAATGAGAAACCAGAGATAGGTGACTACTTTTCAAACAATTGGGTTGACTACCAACCATTCTTCAAAGATGTGTTCAGTAAGGAAAGATTTTTACAAATCTTCTGGAATCTTCATGTCTCCCCACCTCCATCTGGGGGCGTAGCTGGGACATTAACTCGATCAGGAAAGGTAAGAAATGTTGCTGCATACCTCGATAAGAAATTTAGAGAGTATTTTATCCCACAGCATGAAGTAAGTGTAGACGAAAGTATGATTGGGTTCAAAGGAAGGATCCTATTTAAATCCTACAATAAGGACAAACCCATTAAATGGGGAATCAAGGTTTTCGTCTTGTCAGATTCGACTACGGGCTATATTTGTGCCATTGAACCATATTTTGGTAAAACAACCACAGACCGCTTGATTAGGCCTGATTTAGGAGCTACAAGTCGTGTTGAAGGGCTTCACGTCTTCACTGACAGATTTTACTCCAATCTTGATTTGGCAGAGGCACTATTAGCATGGAAAGCCCATACAACCGGCACTATCATGCTACACAGAAAAGGATTGCCGGAAGAAGTGAGACCAGCTAGGCCTAAAAAGGACAAAGGGAAAAAACAAACAAACAAGAACCTGCCTAAACCTAAGTTGAAATAAAAAACTGGGGAAACAAAAATCTACAGAAAAAATGATGAAGTGTCTCTTCTGTTGTGGAAAGACAAAAACTTGGTGGCTATTTTAAGTACACTGTTCGGTGATAACTCTACCCAAACGGTTAGGCGCTACAAAAAAGGGGGAGTAGGGGAGTTAGTAAAAAAACCTACTGCAGTTTGTGAATATAATAAACATATGGGTGGTGTGGACATCGCAGACCAGTACATTTCCTCGTACTCATTTACAAGGAAATCCCTGAAATGGTGGAGGAAAATGTTCTTTTGGCTTTTGGAAACAGCAATTGTAAATTCCTTCATTCTATACAATACCAATCAAGAAAGGAAAAATGTAGTTCGCCAAAGACGTTACAGAAAAATGTTGGTTAAAGAACTGGTCGGAGAAGTAAGAAATGTCTGAAAACGAGGAAGACCATCATCTTTAGTCGAGGACGAGCGACTTAATGGAAAACTTCATCTGCCCTATCCGCTTGAGGGAGGTAAAACAAAGAACTGTGCGGTGTGTAGCGATAGAAGACCAGGAAAAGAAAGAAAAAGGTCAAAGTTTTATTGTAAAACTTGTTCTAACAATCCCGGACTTCACATGGGTGAATGTTTCGAAAAATATCATTCAGTGAAAAAAATCCGAGACGATTAAAGAGAACTTTCAACTCATTGATTGTATGAGTAGCCTATATACGTTCATTTTACACTTTTAGTAAATACGTAATATCAAAGAATTTTCATTTTCAAACAAATGTATGTATATATTCAATATCTCTTCTGTTTTTTTTACTTAATAAATCAGTTGTCACTTGTCAGTATAACATTACGATCGTTCTATTACAATTTATATCCCCTATGCTAACATTGCAGGTTTTCAGTAAAAACAATTCCGAGCTGCTGGGAGCGAGCCGCCATGATGAATGCCGAGGGGGCGTGTACTAGGACTTGGCCAGTACAGCTGGCCGCCCGACCGTTGGAACCAAGTCAGTACGGATTGAATTCCGACTGGCTGCAGACTGCGTTGTGGCCACTCCTGCTGGCCTTCCGATCGCAAAGGGTTAAATTAGCAAACTTATTGACTGTTTACAATTAACATATTTTCTTCTTACTTTTAATTTCTGACAACAGCTGGAGATTCATAACAATTTATGTTTCCCATGTTAATCTTGTGGAGAAATATGAAACTTTAAAGGGCCCCAGGGCCTCACTCTCTAATTATTTCCTTAAAAAGATAGTTTCCTGCACAACTGCACGTTACACTCTTTCAAATGACACCAAAAACATGTCAATCGGTTCAGTAGTTTCGGAGGAGTAATTGTCACAAAAAACCTGCTTGCGTATTAAATAAGTTCTAGTTGCTCTGCCCGTGCTTCGCTACGGGGTGAGAATGCAGAAAAGAAAAATTCTGTTTTACTTTAAGATACTATAATATACTTTGGGAAACGGAAACAGATACAACACACTTACCACAGGACACACAAACTTATCAGGAAACATATAGGCAAAAGCTCAATCCTGCTTATTGATTATTTAAATTAAGATCTCTTAATGTATTACAGTACTATCATTTTATAGAGTATATAACATTTAACATTTAATGGTCAAAACATACCTCGTCAGACAATCCTTAACATGTAGTGTCGATGTTGCTACATATGTTTCGGTGGTTATTTACTGATCTCCGCCATTGTCAGGCAAACAAAAGGATCCACTTGATGTGTCGTCAGAATAAATAAATAATACACACATTCTACAAAACACAAAACGAAAATGATAGGCCTATCAATTACACGCACTGCCGTGGACATGGCAGGAAGCAGACTGAACGTTATGTTGTGTTGTGATGTGACTTGGCTCCGGGCTGTCGTCTGCGTTATCAACAGCTGATATTGGTCTATTGTAGTGACGGAGGAGAGTATTGAAAATATAATGAGATTCATAGTTGAGTTTTTCATTCAAAATTTGTGTGCTGTCCTTGGTTTTTATGTCTTTATATATTTCGAATTCTTCCAGAGTGTTTAATAAATTTCCTTTTCCACAGTAATGAAGGATATCAAGACCATCATTTATATCTAGCATATCACGTTTGTTGTCGATGATGGCGGAGATCAGTAAATAACCGCCGAAACATATCAGGGTTGCCACCAGCCATGAAAACCTTCAAAAGCTTGAATTATGCATGAATTCTTGTGACCATGAAAAAAGGCATGGATTATGCATGGATTTCTCCAATGGACCATGAATTTTCCAAATCAGGAACAATTATTCAACCAGTACCATTAAATTTTCCAAATAAAAAATATTTTATATTTCAAAACAGTTCATAGAAACAAACACCATGAAAATACTGTATGGAGATGCTTATTTAACATGTTTCACGATCAGAAACAATTGCTTGGTTCATTCCAAGTCATTCAAAGATGATGATGTCAGCTGAGACTTCCCGAGGACTGTATATGGTTCGAAAAATCATTAGTAGGCCTACTCCCGCGTATGAAAAAGGGGAATGGGGACTTAAATCACAAAAACAGAAGTTTTAGACCATGCTTGGAATTAAAACTGGGTGCACAATAAAACCGAATTTCCGACTCTGACGCCTGAATTTTTTAGTTTTTTGGATAAAACCGTATCTTAGTACGTTGTGGGATAAGATAAACCAGAATGCACATTTTTATGACAATTATGTAGGGGGATAAAACAGGACTTTTTTGGCTGAGTGAGTGGGATTTTTGTTTTATTCCGGTGATAAGACTGAATTAGTCCTTGATTTAATATATTTTACAATTCTTCTCCAATATCTCAGCTGTACCAGTTTTGTTTTCAACTTTGTTTTGAATTTTTATAAATCACTCTTAAAAAAGTTGTTTATTAAGTATGAAAGGTTATTCAAAAGTAACACACAAAGAAACTGCCTCTTTAACGTCAGTTTATGAACTCAGCAAAACTCAATTGTGTTGAAATTGTATAAGCGCATCGACCATGAATTTTTTTTTAACTACCAATAAAAACCATGAATTCTGCATGAATTTTATCATCACACTATGGTGGCAACCCTGCATATGTAGCAACATCGACACTACATGTTAAGGATTGTCTGACGAGGTATGTTTTAACCATTAAATGTCATATTACGCAATCCTGGGGCTATATAAAAATGAATTTTAATAACATCTTATCTTACTAATATTATAAATGTGAAAGTTTGTGTGTTTGTTTGTTTGTTTGTTTGAAGTTCAATCACGCATTAACAACTGGACGGATTGGGCTGAAATTTGGCATGATGATAGCTCACATTCCCGATTAACATATAGGCATATTCTTTTTTCAAAAATCCTTTCGGGCTCCGCCCCAGTGGCTATGCAGTTCCCCATGTTAACCTTATGAGTATTCATATTTAAAAGGAATTAAAGAATTTAGTCAGCTGTTTCAACTAGAAAAAGTTGGTACTATTATATGCAAAAGCATTAAAAAGTTATATGATTTACCAACAGGGTGCAGCACTATTATATTTTTTCATTTATGATAACAGCTTATTTGAACTATAAGCAGCAACAAAAAACTGTGCTACGCAATGAGAACTGTCAAAGTAGGATTGTTTACAGTTATGTTTATGTTTTTAATTTCATGAATAATTTGTGATATTTTGCAAACTTTTAATAATCTATTTTTCTCTATTGTTTAGGTGAAGTGGTAGAAAATTATGGATATGGTAGATGTGTAATACTATAGTATACCGTAAATTTAAAGAAGCAAATTTTATCAAACTGTGTCCTCCCCCATTGCAAATGCAAAGCTCGAGTATAACTGCAATAAGCGTTTTGTACTTATATCCCGACCCCGTACGAAGGACGGGTACTCTGCTAGTTTAAAATATATGCAAAAGTATGATTCATTGACCACATGGCACCAAAGAAACAATTCTCCTGGTAAACAAATTAAATTAAATAGCAGAACAGCATTTCTGACAACAGCCGTAGTTTAATAACAATGTTTGTTTCCCATGTTAATCTTATGGAGAAATACGAAACTTTAAAGGGCCACCAGGCCTCACTCTCTAATTATTTCCCTAAAAAGAAAGTTTCCTGCACAACTTCACGTTACGCCCTTTCCAATGACATCAAAAACATGTCAATCGGTTCAGTAGTTTCGGAGGAGTAATTGTCACAAAAAACCTGCTTGCTTATTAAATAAGTATAGATAGATATATAGATTTACATCAGGGAAACCAGTTTAAGAATTTATATTATAGTCTTCTCATGAGGCTGCAGCTGCAACCAAAATGTTTCACTCCAAAATAAGTCCGTATGAGTTGAAAACTTATTATACAAATAACCCACCAAACATCAAATCCCACATCAACAACATCAATGTACCACTTTTAAATTATTGTTTGGAAAAAGTAACTTTCTCAATTATTACTAAGATAAATTTAAAATATATAATATGAAAGTAGTTTGATAGTATTCATAAACTGAAAAATGTCATTTGGATCAGGAGAGCAAATCTGTTAAGGGTCACTGGAGAAAACAAACCTGCATTAATGTAGAATAGGTTGTTGTATAGATGAGTATAAAAGCGTGATGGGTCGATGTTGAGGACTTCACCTTGACCAGACAAGATGGAGAAGACAGTTTCAACACAATGAAGTTTCTCTCGAGGTCTCAGAGTTCCTCCGTCCATGAGACTATCCAATACACCGATGAGATCAGCAAAGAACTCAACATTGATGCAGTGAGCAAACCTAAGGCAAATACAAAACTTGATTTTAGTTGTTTACTTTGTGTCAAAAAGTTAATTGAAAGAATGTAGGCCTAGATAAGAAAGTAACTTAATCCTCTAAAATTAAAGCGGAAGTAAATTAAGCACATCAGAGCCAAATCTAACTGTCTGATCCAAGTTAGCCAGCTTCATCTGGGGTCTGGAGTTAGAAAAGCTTGCAAAGGGTAATAGCCAAGTCCCCGACATATCTGATTAGAAATTTATCGTACTTACATTTTCCGCAGTTGTACCTAACCTCATTCATTTGACAGGTTAGGAGAGCAGTATGCCATCTACTTCTGTTGTTGGATGAAAAATCAAGAATGTGTTTCTGACATTATATTACAGTAAATTATTTCAAAAGCTACCCAGGTTGTGTTGGGTTGATAATGATTCTTCATCAGCTCAAAGGCTTGTGGATATTTATAGGCATGCACTGTGGATGCGATATTCCCTGGTGTGGATTAACATCCTTACTAGTGAGTACTACGACGATCCACAGTAGAATTGTGATAATTAGACCAATTTGTTAATTACAAGGCATATCGATGGTATAATGTACAGTAACACAATAGTGGTGGACGAAATGATTGAATCACTTACTAAGCAGCTGCTTAGTTACATTAGCAGTTAATTGAAACAAGCTGGAAGACATTTTGAAAGGTTATCTTTAAATGAAAATTATTTTGGTTTTCTAGCCTAGTTTGTTAGTAAATTATACAATATGACGAAAAATATAGTTCATCGCACGGCTTCGCCTTGATCGTAAAACTTGAGCTCGGGTCGAAAAGAGTCACTTTACGCCCTAGTGATGAAACACAATTTCCTGTTTTGGGATAAAAAAAAAAAAAAAAAAAAACTTAAAGTAGCTATCAAATTTTAGATAAGATCATGATAGAGAATGTTAAGCTACATATGTGTTTTCTTTTGGGATTTTGCCAATACATGAATTTCAATATTTTTCATAACCAATGTTATGATGAATCAATTAGTTATGGGAAACCGTCTCATGGTGTGTTACTAAACTTAGAATCTTAAGTAATAGTACTAGAACTTACTTTGCCAAACCTTCCAATGCTGAACTGAGGACTTTTGAGGACGGGGCTTTCTTCAAAATTCGGAAATAAATAGTGAATACCACTTTCATTACTTCTGTCAATTGCTTCTGTTTGCTTTGTTTGTTTTCTTCAGCCTTTGTTTCCAGAAGTTCCTTTTCAAGTTGTTCTAGTTTCTTTGACCTCTGTTTGAGAAAACAAAATGTTAATTTATAGTGTTAAATGTTAGAGTTAACAAATAGTGTTTGAATTTAAATACGAGAGCTGTTCAGAAAGTAAAGAATGTTTTTTAATTAAATAAAAAGCTTGTACATTAAAAAGTTGCAATATACATTTGAAAAAGCTACTAAAATGACATTTGTTTATATAGTCAATGAAATTGAAGCACTTATCATAGCGGTGGACAAACATGTTAACTCTAACACAGGAAGCTCTTGAGGAAGGTTGTTAGGCGAACAAGCGCTCGCCGTAGACTGTCGTAAGAACTGTCCACTGTCCACCGGTCTCGGCTTCTCCCCACCACGTCTACGTCAGCGCCCCGAGGTCGCGGCGGTCAAGTCACGAACTAGGAGCCTTGACAAGTGGACAACTGGACATGTTTATTTCCAATAATTGTTGTCGAGCGCACTCTAGCACTTCGTGGTCAACTTCCGTTTCAGCCCGAGGAACGCCTCCTCTTGGCTTTCAGTCCAGCTCCATTTCGTCGATTTCTTTAGGAGACACGTCAGTGGAGTAGTAAGTCGCGCGAACTGGTCTATAAAACGTCGATACCATGACGCGAGTCCTAGGAAGCTTCTAAGGCTCTTTACGTTAGTTGGACGCGGAAATTCGGCAATTGCTTTAACCTTTTCCGGGTCTGTACCAATACCGTTCGCATTAACGACGTGGCCGAGATACTTCAGTTCGGTCCGACAGAACTGGCACTTCTCAACATTGAGCTTTAGCCCCGCCTTTCTGAGTCTACCCAGCACTTCGCATAACAAATCGAGATGCTCCTCGAAGGTTTCAGAGATCATCACGAGGTCGTCCAGGTACGCGAACGCCCTAGGCTCCAATTCCGGACCGACTACCTTATCCAGCAACCTTTGAAAGGTCGCGCCAGCCGAATGAAGACCGAATGGCATCGATGTGAACTGATACAGCCCGCGCCCAGGAACCATAAAGGCAGTGAGAGGCCGGCTCGCCGCCGCCAACGGCACTTGCCAATATCCATTAGCCAAATCGAGTGTGGAAATAAATCGTGCCTTTCGCAACTTTTCAAGTATGGCAGATATTCTAGGGAGGGGGTAAGCATCCTTCTCTGAACAATCATTCAGATGTCGAAAGTCTATACAGAACCGATATTTTCCACTAGGTTTCTTAATAAGCACTACAGGGGAACTCCATCCACTAGTAGATGCTTCGATTACCCCGTCACTTAGCATACGATCCACTTCAGCGTTTATCACTTCCTGCATAGCGGGATTTCGCGGGTAATACCGCTGCTTGATTGGAGTAACTCCTTTCTTTAAACGTATTTCGTGTTGGATCAGTTCCGTGCGGCCAGAAACGCTTTCAAATAAAGGCAATTCGGCCTTTAGAAATTCGCCTAATCGTTTCTTTTGGCCCTCAGTCAAGTCCGATATTGCGCTTAATTCGACAATCTCGCCGGCGACGTTCGTCCCACTAGTATCTAACGCGACCAAGTCCAGTCGTTCGAGAGTGTCGATACCGAGAACCACGTCACTAGTGAGAGTGGGGAGATACAATGTATAGAACTCCTCGTCGCGACCTTGAATCGAACCCTTAAAACGATAGGATTGGTCCGATTTCGAACAGCTACCGTTCGCGAGTCTCACTACCGTGGGAGTCGAAACAGACATAATTCCAGACCGTTCCAAGTGACGTGCAACCGCCGTGCCGATCAACGTGACTACGGCACCTGTGTCTATTAGCGCGGCGAACTCTCGCCCTGCTATCGTCACTGATACGTGCGGTCGTCTGTCGTTGGTCTGAATCTGAGCGTTCTCGGTTTCCGGGAATTTCTTAATTTTCTCTAACCACGCGCACCAGTCCGGGGAGGTCTTCGTAGTAGGCACTACTGAGGATTCAGGCGACCTCCTTCTTCCTGAACCCGTCGATCGTTTCCCTGGCACCGACAGTCGTGGGTGCGGATGCCGGCCTTTTTACAATAGAAACACTTTAGAGTTCTCGGCATACGGCAGTCACGAAACATGTGGCCTTTCTTGTCACAGTTCCAACATGTGATAGTCGATTTGTCGCGCACATTATCGGGTAATCGCGAAACTGTATTGTTCTCTCGGGGTGAACCTTCGCGCTCACGCTCCGAGTGACGTCGTGGGCTCGTAGATGACGAGGTCCTCGAAAAATTACCCGTCCGGGGGTTCGGAGAGTTCTCTCGTGATCTACGTGGTCTTGCCTCTGACCGGAAGCCTACGCGCTTCTCGGTTAATCGTCCCGTCACGCCGTTTGATGACTGACACTCGCCAATCGTCGAAACTCCGAAATCATCTCCTGATTTATTATCGCGTCCTCGTCTCGGGCGATAAGCCGTTTCGGGGACCAACGCTGCCGACGCAGGGGGAGGGGGGCGGAAAAGAGATTTTTCCCTAAAATAGCTCTCAACGTGTTCCGCTTGTCTGAGCATTTCGTCGACCGAGAAAAAATCGTGTCTCCTCATCGTCAACTTATATTCGGGTCTCATATTCGTATACAAAATATTCAATTGTTCGTGGAGACTGAGGGTTCCCTTGCGTCGCATGAGAGTAGTTAAAGCCACAACAAAGTTTCTAAAAGCTTCGTTGTCACCTTGAGTCCAACGCCGAATTTCTTCGTCTAGATTTCGCAGGTATCCTGGTGGTAGGAATTGTAGTTCGAAACTCGATCTAAATGACTCATAATTATGCCAGGAGTCTTTATAGTTTCGATACCACAACAGTGCATTACTATGTAGTAGCTCGGGGAGTGCTCGTATAATATCGTTCTTATTTATTTCGTAGGCCTCCATAAGCTCTTCCAGGCGTTCCAAGAAAGAAACGGGGTCTTTAGAGCCGTCAAAACGAACGTTCCACTTTCGAACTAGATTACACAACGCCGATACGTTAACACCAACCTTAAGAATTACGTTCGAATTTTCGTGACACGAAGGCAAACCACTACTGAATCCGTGATTCACGCTTGCCTGTGTAGGAATACCTAGTTGTTCGCTCGCGAACCTACCGTACGGTCGCTGACCGGTACCGGACACCATAGGTCGCTGAATCGAATCTGTAGAGTGGGAGGTGTCGAAAGCATAGTGAACACTTGGTCTGGTTAGTGTACTATACACTAACCCCTCGGAATTTGTAAAACGATCTGATTGTGTTATATGGACTGGATAATTACTAGCCTGATTGTTGGCCTGATTGTTATCAGCGCGCATTGTTAGGCTTGATAACGAACGACAAACGTCCTCAAAGTTGGTTCCTGGAGGCAAACCAACTATCTCCCGTACTCTGTCAAGTTCCGCACTTCGTATGTCACTGGCACCTGGTCGCGAGTCGACATATCCCGTGTCGTACCGGTGTGGAAGTGCAGTCGCACCGTCCACGCTATCATTCATGTCCTTACCGTACACTGCTCGGGGAATGCCATGTTTCCAAAATTTACAAAACGACTTGCGAAGTTCGTCGACTGTCCCCATATTAGGCAAACCGTATCGACTCATTTCGTAACGAAGTTCATCCTTGGTTAACGTGTGAATCCACCCAATTCGCGGGTCATCCTCTGAGGGACTCTTAGACGTCAACGTACGATCAGTCGTAGTAAGTAAATTTAAAGTCGTTGGTACCATTAACTGTGACGTAGTTGTACCTACTTGAGGCTGAGTAGCCTCTGCGGTCGTAGTGGGAAAACTTAAAGTCGATGGCACAGTTGGTTGTGAAATAGTTTGTGCTACTTGAGCTTGTAAAGACCCTGCAGTCGTAGTCGTAGTTGTCGCTGTCGGTTCAGTCATCGCTCTGACCGTTTTAGGCGTAGTTTTCGCGCTAACACTCGATCCTACCATTTTCGCTTTTTCTTATATTCAAAAGAAAAAACCAGTACGATATCGATTTTACCGTTCGGGCGCCAATACTTGAAGTATGTTCGAATATTACGATAATAACGGAAATTCACTGTCCCTGTTCGGAGGCGCACTGTGTGAGGTGTTTATGTCGGGTAGGGCACCTATCGTAAACTTACCTCCGATTTGCTTGGACAGCTCGAGTAGTCCAGGGTCTCGCTGACAGTCCTCGTCGCTCGCTTACCACTTCTAGATCTTCGTAGATGTTAATGTCGCGCCGATCTGCTAGTACACAAGTACACACTGTGTACCTCGGCACGTCGACGCACCGTACACGAGTTGCTATTAAGGAATACACTAACTATAGTTACTCCTATGACTTGGTGTCAGCACAGCGACGCGCTGACAAGGCCAAGTCTAAGCTAACTACTAGGGGCCGATAGATAAATAGGCGACGATTAGGAAATAAAATAAATAACCAGCTCCTAGGCTTAACGAAAGGTCTCACTTCTCAAAATAAAACTAAAAATAATCTTCTCGGAATTAAAAGAAAACGACGCTAACTCGCGATAAGTAAGTAATGAAATAAAACAAAACGTATAAGGCACCTAGGCCAATTATTCTTCTTGGCTTTAAGGAAAATAAATAAAACTCTTGATTAAAATAAAACAAAACTCTTTGGATTACTAAAAGTAGGCGTAGGCTACTGCGACACTACACTCGCAGCGTCGGTCGATAAACTACGTTATTCTATAATAAACTACGATAAACGTCCTAGAATAGCCTAATAAATAACGTAATTTCCCTCGCCAAAGTGGATACGGGGATGAATACAACGTATACGCTAGCTATATACAGTGTACTTACGTAACACGACACTTCCAGATTTGCATCCAGGTTACTCTCGCCTTCGTCCGGATACCTTATTATTTGGTTCACTCGCACGGCCTAAGGAGGGTTGGTTGGTGTGCGCGAACCTAACGCTCGACGCCGACTGTCCCAAGAACTGTCCACTGTCCGCTGGTCTCGGCTTCTCCCCACCACGTCTACGGCAGCGCTTCAAGGTGACAGCGGCCGAGTCTCGAACTAGGAGACATGACTAGCTGCAGTGGACATGTTTGACATTGTTGCCGTCGTGACGAACCGCCGCGATTAATCGTTCGTGTATATAATTAAAAAAAATTTACCCCTTACAAAATTTGACCATTACACTTTGTTGTCGAATCCTGCTGCTTGTGATTTCAACCACTCAGTGACATGCAATTGTAGCTCCTTGTTATCATTAAAGTGCTGCGCTGCTAACCAAGTCTTCATTTAGAGAAATTCAATTAAAGACGGGCTTTGTCATGCAAAATAAAAACTTTGAACATAAACTTTAGTTTGGCTATTTTCCAACTGATTGCACAATTTCTGGATAAAACATCCATTTATTTGTTAGTGCCTGAACACTTCTCACACTTTACGAACAATTTATGTAGGTTTTAACTGTTTTAAGTTTGTTGCCAACAAAAAACGTATTACAGACTGCACTTCACAACTAGCAGGATTTTCAATTGCAGCACTTTTTCAAACTAAATATTCCGTCAATGGGCAGCCCAACGACATTTCAGCTGTGACGGACAGTCATTGAGGAGGTGAACACCAGGAAGTATTTAATCAGCACCAGGCTTCTTTACTTTCTCAACAGCCTTCGTATAACAGGCAAAACATTACCCATTTGCATGGTTCTAACAGTCAAACCACTATGTATGCTACTATGACTAAGTACGCTTTGATATGTATCAAATAGTGAAATGTGAGGTAAAATGGTGTACATTTATTATGATACTGCATATGCAGACTATAGTCTAGAACTATCTCTGAGTGAACACCTGATCTTACTGTGTTTATTTTCCGTTTTATTTACTTACTTAAAACTAGTGATGTGCCGATACCAAAATTTATCGATTCTCAATATTGATACCTGAAAAATCTATTCTCAATACTGATACCATTATTTTATTATTTTAATGTATTATTATCTTAATAGATTAGTTATACTACACCAACGCCTGTCTATGTGTCCTTCCATGTATTTTTGAGGTAATGGGGTGTTTTTAAAGGTACAATATGCAGCAATGATACATTCCAACTAGTCAATTTAAGTTTAAACCCTTCTAAACACATAAAAAAACTACCATTAAAGATAAATGAAGATCTAACAACAAAAATCTAAAAGAAAATGATATAATTAGGCAAGCCAAACTTGAGGTAACGTGATCATCTCCTGCGGTCGTGGAGATATCATCATCAACTCCCGCAGACACGGAAACGTCATCGTCGTCCGCGATCATGGTAAGCATCTTCCGTGGCTGTTTAAACATCATCATTGTCTCCCACGGTCACGGAAAACTAATGAACCTCTCCCGCGGCCGTGTAGACATCATCATCAACTCCCGCGGACACGGAAACGTCATCGTCGTCCGCGATCGTGGCAAGCATCTTCCGTAGCTGTTTAAACATCATCATCGTCTCCCACGGTCACGGAAAACTAATGAACATCTCCCACCGCCATGTAGATATCATTGCAGTTAAACGTCATGTTCGTAGTCTGCAATCTCAGCCAAATCATGAACATCTTCTGCGGCCGTGTAGACATCATCATCAACGTCTTTCGTGGTCACAGAATCCTGATAGTCGTCTTCCGTGTTCGCGGCAATAGCTGTAATTTTCTGATCATGCAGGCGTGACAAGTATCAGTATCCGAATCGACTTTTGGCAATCGATTTTTTATACCGATACCAATGGCTAAGTGTCGGTGGTATCGAGAAGCGACACATTCCTGATATAAACCCCACAACAATCCATCCATGTAATACATTTTATAAACTAAAATTACACACTTTTTTAATGGTAGGTACAGTACTAGCCTATAACTCATATTTAAGACTTTCCTTGTTTGTTTCATTGCATCCAAATGCCAAATGTTACTATGACATTTCTGTTTTTTTTCTATAAATAGTATGATAAAAGGTTATGCTAAATATAGGCATATAGAAGCAAATTTACATTTCCCACGCCCACTCTTAGAATTGAAAATAAAAAATATTATAAAAGTACAAACCTTCCGCTCTTTTTTACTCATTGCAAGAAGTTTTTGTTTATGTGTCATGAATTTCTTCTGCTTGATTTCAGATTCTTTCTCTTGGTCTAGATTGATATCTTTGATGCGTAAACCAAGCAAAACGGAGATTACTTCCTTATGAACTGTGTGAGATCTAGATTTGACAAGATGGTTTATCCTCCTTACAATCTAAAACATACAATATCTACAGTCAGCTGGCAAATAACACATTTGTTTGTCCGAGGACGCTAGGCCCGAGCCCGGAATTGTTTTTCACACGACTTCAGGCTAGACCTAGGGGTTGCGGCATTATCACATGGATAAAATCCATTGGTGATTTGGCGGGATTTGAACCCGGGACCTCTGGAACCGAGGTCCCATGCTCTGATCACTAGACCAGCTCACCAGCTCGCTCCCCCAACATATAACACTGCAGACAAAATGTCTCCATGGTTTCCTAATCACACTAAGAATTACATTGACATAATTAACGATGATTTCTTGCAAAATTTGGGAATTTTTAGTTAAGATCACATATTTTAAATATTGTGTACCGGTAGGCTAGTAAATTTTACAATTTAAAAACAAACATTTTAGTGATGTTTTAAAAGAAAAAAATTACTTTACAAACCTTATACAGTTATTCACAGATATTCCAAATCCTCAAATTACCAATGAAACCCTACATATTAAAATATCATTGGCACTTTTGTACATCATTTTCTATTTGTTTCAAATGTTCCTTTTTTGACATTTCTTATTCTGACAGCGTGAGCAGCTGTAATATTATTTTTTGGAACTAAGTTTCAGTGTTAAAACAGGAATGCAACTCAATTTTAATTTTTTATAAATAACTGCACTTACATCAAGAGTGATCTCACCACGTTTGTCCTCTTTAAACACATGAGTGTAACAGGAAGCCACTCTCTGTCTAACAGCTTCTCTGGGGTGGTTCAGGTACGGTGTCAACATCTGCACTATGTTCTTGTTGTAGTTGAAGTAGGGATGGCTTACCAACAGCTCTGAGATGCAGTTTATGGCTAGATCTCCTAGCTTTATAATTTGCTGAAATAAAATAACTTTGTTCACTTTTAGAGCTTTTGACAAATGAGTAAAAAAAAGCAAAGCTTTTGTAAAATTCTTAGACTCTTATGTCCACTATCTTTTATATGTTAAGACCACACATTATTCACCCTTGAGAGATTACTTTATGAAGTTTTTCTCGGGTGCTTTATTTTGTTTTTAATGTGTTTTCCCTGGTCGTCAGTTGAAGATACCACAATAACTCACCTAAATCTTTCTAGGAACCAAATGGTCCACATTTTACTCTTAAAAATGCTTCCCCACTAACCCCTTACACTCGGTGAATGTTAAGGGCCGTGTAACTTGATTCATAGTTGTAATAAATTTTGTTGGTCAGCCATCACACCTAGTGATATTCTTAGTGCCACTAAAAGGATTAAAAGATCAGCTAGTGTGGATGTGTAAAATATGTCAAACAATCTGTTAAAAGTAATTATTGACTGTTTGGCTAACCCCTTGGCAATATGCACAATAATCTTTTATCAGAAGGGGTTTATTTCTGATTTACTCAAAGTCTCTCGAGTCTGTCCCATGTACAAAACAGATCATAAGGACCAACCTCAGAGCTACAGGCCAGTTTCAATTATACTTGTATTGGGAAAACTAATAGAAATAATTATTTACAATCAAATCAGAAATCATTTTGAAATAAACAACATCTTGAACAACAATTAATACGGTTTTAGAAAGTTCATCTCTCTTTCGAAAGTAAAACTTGCGCTCAGGTCACCTTCTATGACCTGTTATTGAAGCATTTGACTCTGTTGATAGCTATATTATTACGGATTTGATTATCTCCATTACTTTTTTTAACAAGCTACTTGCAAAATCGGAAACAAGTTTGTATAAAAGGAAGATGGTCAGATGAAGTGTCACTTGAGTGGGGAGTGCCACAGGGTTCAGTCCATGGTCCCCTTCTTTTCTTAATCTATATAAATGATCTACCCTCTTCTGTTGATTGTAAAACTATTCTGTACGCAGACGATAATACCTTTTTATATACAAGTTTTTTAAAGGGAAAAAGAAACTTTTTATATGCAAGTAAAAACTATAAAGGACTTGAAAAATTGGCTGATGAAAAATTAAATAATGCACAAAATTGGTTTCATAGTAATGGACTTTTGCTAGACAAAGAAAAATCACAAAAATTAATATTATCCTTAAATTATAACTAAAAAGAGTTGTTTGAGAACAGTGATATGTACCAGACATACATAAGTACCAGACTTTCTCCTGTGTAACATTTTTACTAGGCCGTCTGAAAAAATACATTCCACTGAATTATGTCCGAACAGCATATCTTACTAATATTATAAATCTGAAAGTTTGTGAGTTTGTGTGTATGTGTGTTGCTCAATCACGCAATAACTACAGGACCGATTGGGCTGAAATTTGGCATGATGATAGCTAACATTCCCGATTAACATAAAGGCCTATTCTTATCTCAAAATTCCTTTCGGACTCCGCCCCAGTGGCTCTGCAGTTCCCCATGTTAATCTTATGAGTATTCATATTTAAAAGGAATTAAAGAATTTAGTCAGCTGTTTCAACTTTACAAGTTGGTTCTATAATATGCAATAGCATTAAAAAGTTTTATAAGTTTTCCCAACATGGTGCACCACTATTATTATTTTGTATTTACGTATATGACAACAGCTAATTTGAACTAAGCAGCATCAAAAAGCTGTGATACACAATGAGAGCTGTAAAAGTAGGATTGTTTACAGTTATATTTATGTTTTTAATTTAATAAATAATTTAATATTGTGTGACCGTTAGATAATTTTTTTCCTATTGTTTAGGTGCAGTGGTAGAACATTATGGCTATGGTAGATGATGTGTTATACTATATCATACCATAAATTTAAAGATCCAAATGTTATCAAACTGTGTCCTCCCCCATTGCAAACACAAAGCTTGAGTATAACTGCAATAAGTATTTTATACTTATATGCCAACCCCGTACAAAGGACAGGTGCTCTGCTATTTTTTCATATTTTCAATCCATTTTCAGGTATGGGCTGATTTTTTTGGGCAACTATGCTAGGGTAAAGAAAATTCTTGTTTGGCAAAAGAAAGCGGTTAGAGGTAATCTCTAAAAGACTCGAGACCACAGCAAACCAATTTTTCAAAATCTTCAAATTCCTACTATTATTATGTTTATATTTATGACAGTTTATATCCTGGAAAATCAACATCTTTTAAAATTTAGGAACAATATTCATAATCATAATACCAGAAATAAGAACCATACCTCAATAGAATTCCATTGTTTAAGTAAAACTCTAAATAGTCACATAGTTTTGTCACTTAAAGTGTACCTATAACTTTCTTGAATCCATAATAAAATTACACACTATAAAGGATTTCAAGAATAAATTTTACTGTTGGCTGACCAATAACCCGTTTTAAGGCCCGCCCAAACTGCCGCGGTATGCGGTAAGGGTAAACCGCCGGGTATTTTAGAACAACGTGACCTAATGGGAGCGCCCACACTGGCGCGGTATACCGCCACCGGTATGGTAAAATTTACCCTCGTGTCGCAAAAATGCTGCATGTTCCATTTTTGCTGCGCGGTATTTCAGCGGTACGCATATTCTCAGTGTGAGTGTAGATCAGTTGTCAATAATTAATTGAGAGTCAGTTGAGCATCATGTCTACGGATCGTTTAGTAGAAACTGTGTATCTGTACCCAGTGCTGTATCGTGGTGGAAGGAAAATACATAGGTGTGCTATTAATTCCCGTCCTATTATGACGTCACTCGGATTGCAAACAAAAGATTATCTGATTGTAACTGTCAAATTAGTATGTATTTGTTTTAATTTGATTGTTATTTTTTTTATAAAAACACACAATAAAAACAATAACAACCAAGTCAAAACAAATACATATACTAATTTGACAGTTACAATCAGGTGATCTTTTGTTTGTAATCCGAGTGACGTCAGAATATGACGGGAATAGCACACCGATGTATTTTCCTTCCACCGTGCTGTATGACCTTAGTCACAAGGACTTTAAAAACATACAGAATAAAAAATAGAATAAAATAACGTTATTGTGAATACTAGTTATAATAACAACTCCAATAAGCCAATAATTAAGGAAAAGAAAACGTCAAACTCCAACAAACACGGAAAAGGTGATCCATTACTTGGAAAGTAAACCCCCCCCCCCCCCACCGCATGGCAATGGACGACACAGATCATCTCTTGCTGGGATATGCGAAAACCATAAAAAAAAAACTCTCGCGTAAAAGGTATATCCTCGGCAAAAGGAGAATTGGACAGATCATACTGCACTTGGAATTAGAGGAAGTTGAGGAAAGCAGTGAGACACCCTCTCCTATCCCCATACTTTCGTTTTCTGCAGACAACTCCAGTGATTGCAGTCCACGGATTTAATCCGCACGTTTTTGTGCAAACCACACCTCATATACTTAATGAGGGAGGGGACAACGTATCCGTACTTACGTTCACACAATATTAAAGATTAGTACACCTAATGCTCGAATTCAAGCAATTGCAAAGTATTACGGGTGTTATTTCAAAACGAATAACAGTCCGATGACTTAAAAGAGTCAACTCAAAGATAATGTAATCAATCGCTCCACTCCAGTTATAGAAACTGAAAACGAACGCTCTTGTGTGTGTCATGTGTTAACTATAGACAGCTGTAATTAATACTAATACAATTTATTCTTCTGTTCAAGTAAACAAAATCTTTGATCCATAAGAAATACATTGGGATTTTGATGGCTTGTGGGGCAAAGCCCAAGGACTTTTATTACAGGAATTGGTTAAAGGGGGCATCTACTCAAACAATACTTCATTTTGACTCATCGTTTGTAAAAATCCGTCCATTATTAACGGAGGAGTAGTGTTTCGTAGAAATCACCTTCAAGTATTATATATAAGGATTGCGTGACAGGTATTTGTAGAGTATTGACGTTTAACTTTTCATTAGAAAATATTAATTTGTATGGTACTGTGAGTAATCCATTTTGCATATCACTGTCCCATATGAAAACTGAACATCTTCTAGATTAAATAATAAATATATATTATGATTTCTACGTGTTGCAGTGTTTTGTGTATCTTCACCTACTAGCCTGTCTTTAACTAGTAACTAACAATATTTCTTCCTCATCTGAAGACGAATACATCTTACATATCCAAGAGACACAACACACCTAGCACTCAATTGCAAATGAGTTACGCCCAGTACCGCTTACCGTTTACCGCGGCAGTGTGGGCACCCTACCATACAGCTGTCGGTGCATCTGTAGAGGCGGTAAAATACCCGTACCGCGGCAGTTTGGGCAGGCCTTTATAGTTTGGAAGATTTTTTTAACAATAAGGTTCTTCAGTTGTAATTTTTGAAATAAGTATTGTAATATGTCTCCCTTTGTTTAGTTTATAAGTATTGTATTAATTAACTTAGTTATAATTTTAGCTGTATCATGACATTGTCAATAATTAGTAAAAATTCAAAAGACAATAAAGAATATTTAATCTAGGCCTAATTTGATTTTATTTTGTAACACGGACGCTGCGACCGTGTAACCTCTTCTGGCCGGAGTTCCGTGTGTCACCTCTTGTGTTTTGTTTTCTATTATTATTTGCATACTTTTAATGTCTAAAAAGTAATTAATTTATATACACTAGTGTACATATGTTGCTCGAAAGCGAGCAATTGCAAAGTATTACAGGAGTTCTTTCAAAACGAATAACATCAGTCATATTTACAATTAATTTAAAAGAATCAACTCAAAGATTACCTGTGTGTAACTCAAACCATGTTTATCTTCATTATTATTCGTTTATATTCGTCTGTTCTGTAGCTGAGGTCGTTAACACGATTACTCCTAACTATGTTTCGTTCTCGTCGCGTCGGAGGCATTTAAACGAAAAAAAAACAACAAATAACATATTATAGCTACATAAAACAACGATAAATGCACAAATTTAAGTTACAATGGTGCTAACACGATCCGTCATAACGACACAAAACAACGATAAATACACAAATTTAAGATACAACCATACTAACATGATCTGTCTTGGTTATGTTTACACAAACTCAAATAGTAAATAAATGTACTCAATGCGTTTCATTGAATTGAAAAATAAATAATAGCAATTAAATTATACAGCTGATCAAAATGTAAACAATTATGTTCTCCATAAGGATAACATGGGAACTTTCAAAGCCACTGGGGCAGAGCCCTAGGGACTTTTCTAAAAATGTAAGGCCAGTTTGCAAATCTACGCTACACGCTCTTTCCAATGAGACGTCAATGGATAAAATCGGTTAAGAAATGGCGGAGGAGTTCAACCGACAAAGTTTCATGTAGCGTATTAATTATATAGATTTCATTACCGGGTAATCTAAACTGTATATATATATATTTACAACTTTGTATATTTTTACAATGTTTTTCTATAATTTTACTACCCAGTAAAAACCTCTGTAGTTATCTCGTGTTTTAAAATCAGCACTGATATTTTCTAACAGAATTATTAAGTCACTAACTCAAGTTTTAAAATAGTGACATTTGGACATTCTGCTAGCCAGTAATTAAATATATCTCCAATAGATCCGACCATGTTGTGTTTGATAAAGGGTTATTATTCATAAAGACTCTTTGTCTCATATAGTTTTGGTACTGGTACTGGTTAAGACCAGCTGATCATTCCCTCACTAGATCACACTAAAGGCCCGTTTTGCCAGAAGCGTCTGGTGCGTCTGACGCTCAGCGATGATCGCTAGAGCGATTCAGCGTCTATCGCTCGGGCCTATTTTGCCAGAAGCGACAGTTCCTTGCGATTATTTGATCAGTAAGTGGTTTACTTTGATTGCAAAAGGAGTGTTTCTGAAAATGACCTGTAAAAAGCAAATAGTAAAGTATTTGTTAGATGAGGAATTAGACGACGATGAGATATTAGAAGTGTCGTGCAAACCTAGGGAAGAAGTGCGTACTATGTTTTTAAAGAGGCCTGAAGAGGGATATTTTAAAATGTTAATTGAAAATCAATTAACAATTGACTTAACAGTCGTCTGCTGAAATGGCTTTAGTCAGTTTTTCATCTTCTTCACTATTGAATCCTCACTTTGTTTGTGACATGTCACTATACTTGAAAACACAACTTATTTAAGGAAACAAAAGTTAGGTCAACAACTAAACACGTGTTTATTCCAGTAATAATGGCTAGCGACTGCGTCTCCGTCTGCTCCGGGAGCAGTGGTCAGCGTCAGACGCTTGCATCTCAGTTACAGACGCTGGTGGCTGTAGCGATAGACACTTCTGGCAAAATAGACTAACCTAAAACAATGCAAAGCAGTGGGCAGCGATTGACGCGGAGCGATAGACGCTGAGCGTCAGACGCAAGAGACGCCTCTGGCAAAACGGGCCTTAAGGTACAAACCTCACTACGATCACGGTTGTCTCCTTTCTTCTTCTGTAGTATTTTGGCCATCTTTTCCAATCTCATTAGGAACAGGCGGTAACCTTTCAGCAGACTTTTTTCATAATCATGGAGTGTTTTTGTGTCTTTCTTTACTGAAAACAATCATAATACATTAGAATTAATTTAAATTGCTCTACAAGAAGAAGTTTTGTAATTTAATTGAAACCTTTGAAGCAATCGCAGGTGAAATTAATCATTAATACATTCCTTTTAATTGCAATATAAATAAGCATGAGTTGTAACAACAGTGAAAATTTTTTGTAGTAAAATTTTAAAAAAGCTTACTCTAATTTAGTACAACTTACTAGGCCTACAAGGATTTAACTGTTATAAATCAACTTGATATTGATTGATAAAACTTACACTTAACTGTGTTGTCTTCATGATGGCTTATTTGGTAAGACGGTAGAATGTCCTTGAATACTTCAGTTAATGATAGAAGAACTAGTTTCTGTACAGTTAGTCGGACCTCTGGTTTACTCTCATTCATGGTGTCCAGGAGTAAACTTATATTTTTGACCTAAAAGTAACTACTTATTATATATATATATATATATATATGGGTAATATTCCACTACGGCCGTTAGAACCGTTTGAACCGGAGATTAGAACCGTAAATATTCCGTCCCACGCACAATTTGTATCATTTGATGTGACCAATTTGTACACAAGTGTGCCAATTGACGAAACCATTAACTTAGTTGAACAATAAGTAAGAACCAAGGGATCCTTGGAAGATGATAAAATAGCAGAGTTAGTATCACTTTTAAGAGTCATACTTAAACAAAATTGTTTTGAGTTCAACGGAAAATATTATCTACAGGAACAAGGATTAGCTATGGGCTCGCCCTTATCATCAATTTTATCTGAAATCTTTCTTGATAACTTAGAACACCAGCGCATATTGGCCAACATTAATGCACACAAAGGAAAGATTGTTTACTGGCACCGATACGTTGATGATGTGCTTTGTTTATTCAAAGGCAACAATAGACAAATTGATTTGTTTGGAAAATACCTTAATAACATCCACCCCAGACTTCAATTCACAACAGAACACGAGAAAATTCTTCAATTAACTTTCTTGACTTGACAATAACTAAATCGGACAATAAACACCATCCACACCACACAGACACCAGACACAACCATCCACAACAGTTCTAATTACCCCCAATCCCACAAGATCGCAGCCTATAACTCAATGCTACACAGATTGGTTAATATCCCTCTAAACGAAGAGAACTATAGACTTGAATTAAACACAATAAAGCGCATTGCCTTGAATAACGGATACAGCACAGAATTAATTGATAAACTGCACAGGAGAATCAAGAGAAAAGTTAACAATAAAGCCGATAAAGATGACAAAAAATACGTCACATTAGAGTTCTGTAAACTAAACCAATGTTTAGCAACCCGTCCTTTTAGTAGACACAATTATTCAGTTGCTTACAGAACCAGTAATAGCCTACAACGTAAGCTGTCTGCTCCTCGACATAGGAATACACCATTGTTGGAAAAGCCAGGTGTTTACAAACTTAAGTGTGGAGAATGTGACTCGTATTATATTGGACAGACTGGTAGGTGCTTTAAAGCCTACCACATAGTGCCTACATAGTGTGATTATAAAGAGCACATAAGCGCCATTAAGAAACCCAACCCAACTTCAAACTATGCCGAACACATTCAACAGTATTGCCATGATTATTCCGACATAAACAGTTTAGAAATACTACATATTGGCAATAAAAGTCACAAACTTAATTGCATCGAAAATTTCCATATCTACAGCAGTACAGTTAAAGAACCCAACTTAGTAATTAACTGCCAAACAAATTCATCAGCCAATCCAATTTTTGAGAGAACAATAGAAATTAAACAGGAAAGAAATAGTTTGAGTAGATAAGGTTGGCACACCGTGTTATCAGCTGTTCCAGTCATCCACGTAACTCCTGCAGTGACCAGGATTCAACAGTCGGTCGTCAGTTTTCAAGCCGTGCTCTAAATGTTTTCGTGTATTCGTGTTTTCGTGTGTCCGTCCTGTGCTTATATGTGTATTATTTATTCAACCCCTGACGCAATGCAAATGAAGACAATTCGTGTTACATGTGACAAGACTATAGTTTAGTGTACCACTACGCACCTGACGATGGAGTTATCTCCGAAACGGCCGTAGTGGAATATTACCCCTGATTGCGTTGACGGTAAGAACCATAGATATTATTACTTATTATATAACAAATATTAACTATATGTGATTGGTCTAAGCTGAGGAACGGGAATACATAGTTGAAAAGTGGAAAATTAGTAAAATGACTAAGGATGTTGGCGAGTAGAAATAGGTGGTCACATTTTAAAATGCTCACTAGCCAACTAATCATCTTCCAAGGGAGAAGTTGAACTCAAAATAGAAGATAATAGTGTTAAATTTTCTGAGATACTCTGGTCCACACAAGAACAGCTTATTATACAAATCAAAATGTTACTTTTTAATTTTTGTTAAAGAAATTAGTTTGGTTTGCTTGCCATTGGATTAAAACTAAACGAATGCATTGAAATATCATGCTTCGACAACACAAGTTTATCTGTTCATATGAACACATTTAAAAACGGCGGGATTCAACATATAAGCACCAGGGCCTAGGTATTTATGATTTATTGTGAGTAACAGGCTTACTTGAATAGGAAAAAGCCCAAGAAACATGAAACTTTACACCATCAAACATCAGAATATTTCACTGTCACTGACAAAATTTTCAATTACGGAGGATGTGTGTTGAAGAGAGAATTTATTTAAAAAACATTAACTGATAATTTTTTTTATGCTGTCAGTGCCAGTGAAATATTCTAATGTTTCGTATATATCTATAGTGTAATATTGTTTTGTTTACTAATTATATACTAAATCTACTATAGGCCTAAACATGCAGTAGCCTACTTATAAAAAAATACTACATTGAGAATCGTGAATCAGTCCACTGTTTCATGTTCTATCATTTGCGTCATTTGTGTTGACTGTGGTTGGGTCCTGACTTTTTGTTTCACATACATTTTGTTTAAAAAGGTTGAAGTCTTTTTCAGGATTATAAGATAATATATGAAAAAAAATACAATCATTATCTTAAAATAAGCTATGATAAATCAGCAAGATAGGAGCACTTTTGGATCTTATTTATATAACACTGTAAAATAAAAAAGGCCTAATTACAAAGTACCCTATTCTGAGGATCTTCTAGGAGCCCACTGGCAAGCAGTCCAATCCTGTACTTGTACTGAGCTAGCAGCTGTTCCCTCTTTGCTAATATTTCTGCTGTACTGAGAGGCCTAGAAACATCTTCTTCTTCCTCATCACCAAACTCCGGCAAGTATGCCAACTCATCATCTCCTTCTTCTTTCTCTTCTTGCTTGTCTTCAGTGACAGTTTCAAGCGTTTCATCTTCCTCTGGGACTGAAACACAACATTTAGATTTTTTACCTACAGTTCCGGTTAACCCAAATACTGAGACTGTCATATTATGCTATCATATCGCCATAAAATGAACTTTCAAATAAAAAAATCATTACTTATGCTTTTCTAAAATAATTTACTACAATATATACTTATTGTGCGAAGTTAAAAAGCTAGGCTATGTAACATTTGAAATACAATGTAAAAATTGTTAACAGAAAAATACAATACATTGAGTAAACTAGGGAAATCACAATTTTGAAATGTGTTTCTGCTTAAAACAATTTTTAAGTTTTTTACTAATGCTAGGTTTTAATTAATGTTATTACTATACACAGTGGTACATTTACATCATCACAATGCTCATAGTGTGTTGCCATCTTTTTCATTGCCTTGAAAAAGATGCTTACCTCAATGGGAGACTATTAGGTGTCTCAATCCCAGGGTCCTGAATCCTAGGATCTGTAGTGAGGGGGGGGGGAGAAGAATTGATAAGCGAGTATGAAAGTATGAAAGTATGAAAGTATTAGTATGAAAGATAGTGTAAAACACATTTTACGCTATCTTCTCCAGGAAAACGAGAGTACCTATCAAGATCCAAGTCATTTTAATGTATTCTCTGGATTGGCGAGAGTGTCTTTAGCCAATAAAATATGGCCTCACTACTTTGTAAATAAAATTACGGACGTTAAAAAATTCAGTTTTGTGCAACTTTTGTCAAGTTTTCGTCCAATTTTTATCACATAATCATCTATGAAATACTGAACAGCTATTCGGATCAAGATTATTTTTTCTAGCTGTCACTGATATGTTTACAAATGTTGTTTACAAATACCGCAAACCATTTTCGATCACGTTTTGAAAGCAAGTGAGACCAAACCAAGTGAGATTAAAAACGTTTTTCTTACATAATGGATTTAATTAAACGCAAGTGCGATAATATAGTGTAACCGTAAATGAAATGAAATAACTAGGCATCATCCAGGTCAGGAACCAGAGATTCTTTGTATAAAATTGTTCTTGAGTTTTGATAACCAGAAAGAAGACCTTGAATCAGTGTTGTATATAGTTGGGAAACTTAAATTTATTAATGATCGTCGCCTATAGCTTAGATACAAGGTTTCCACTCATTGAAGGCGCTTCAATGGTGGTTTTGTAAAGTGTAAAGTAAAAAATCACAACTGCAGTGGGTGATTGTAACAGAGGTTTACAGATGATGCTAAACTCGCTTTTCCAATGTGTCACTTTCTGTTCCTACCATTGACTATATATACAGGGTGTATATAAAGTCCCGCACGGGCTTAATATTTTCTAAACAACAACAGATAAACCAATAAGATTTGGTACATCAACACCACACCTAAAAATCTACTTTTTTCAAGGAACTATCAATTTTCTTTCATATCATGGGGACGTCCCGCAAGGAGACAGAAGGAAATCTTAAACAGAAGCATAGGTTGGCATGTACATCAAATTAAAGGTTTTTGTTAGCAGAATATAATGCCGCAAATTTGAACTCAAACGGACAACCGAGCCAATTATGACAGTTGTTCAAAGATTAATTTAATTTGCATTGCTATTATACACTTACTCCTCAGGGGGCACAGCCCTAGGAATCGGAAGAAAATTATTAACGTAAGCATAGGTCAATATGCACATCAAATTAAAGGTATTCACTAGTAGATTACAATGCCGTAAATTCAAGCTTAAAAGAACGCCTGAGTGAAAAATGGCATTAGGCTAGTTCAAATATTCAAAATGGCGGATTCAAGAAATCTTTGAACGGCCGCCATTTTGCGCAGGATCAATCTTTTGAAGTGCAGTTTGCGGCATTGTATTCTACTAAAAAATACCTTTCATTTGATGTGCATCTTGACTAGGGGTCTCAATTCCGGGCCTTCAATCCAATCCCGGGATTTCGGGATTTGTCTCAGCCGATCATATAATATTATATAATATTATGATTTTTAACTTTTTAGCCATTTTAAATGAGCGAGAAGTCTCCTCGTTAAGTACTTTAACGTTTTAAACTGGCCTTACCAGTGTTACACTGCGCAATGTTTCCGTTTTCTAAGTAAATAAATATTACCACGCCGAACTTTCATCGCCCGTATTTCTTATTTACAGTGTATAAATGTTGATATGTCACTCTATAATATAATAAATACATTTAAAAAAATCACGAGCAACCGCACTCGCACGTAGCCTAGATACGTCACGCTAATAGATAGATTAAAGATAGCTAAGAGAAAAAGATAAAATGGGAAGAATCTCGAGTAGCAGCGTTAAAATGTTATTTTGACTGACAGAAATAAAACAATATAAGATACTGTAAAACAATAAACCATCTGCATATGTAGTAGCGTGTGTTAGAAAAACGTAATTTTACATTGTATGAAATTTAATCACCACACTAATAACCAAATACGAAGATAAAGCTATAGACCCTCAATATAAGCAATCTTAATACTGTAATGAGATTATAACCATCGTGTGTTAATAGTTATATTTTATGGCATCAATCAATGAAAATAATACTTAAATTTCCGATTGCAATGTTATGTTTGCTACACGAATTGCGTTGTTTACGTTTAATGTCAACAGTAAAAATTCAAAATAACTTGTAGGCCTACTGTAATTAAGTTCTAAATAATGTAATAACATTTACAGAAAGTAAATCCAAATCGTCTAAAAACTGAAACATATATTTAGGCCTACATTCGTTCGCCTATTGAGTTTAATGATGATTAAATTTTCCAATCAAAAAGATCACTAGGCCTACTTATACCATTTCGTATAATTGTCCTAAAAATAAAAGAGTATATGTGTTTCAAGTGTTATTGGACTATTTTTATTAGTTTTCCTCAAGTAAAAAGTCCTCAAATTCACAAAAAAAATCAATATAAACATAGGTTTTGCAATCCCGTTAATCCCGGGATTAAGACCCCTAATCTTGACCTATGCTCCTATTTAAGATTTCCTAGCGGGCGTCCCCATGATATGACAGAAAATTGATAGTTCCTTGAAAAAGTAGATTTTTAGGTGTGGTGTTGATGTACCAAATCTAATTGATTTATCTGTTGTCGTTTAGAAAATATTAAGCCCGTCGTGTGGGACTTTATGTACACCCTGTATAGTCAATTTCCTACTCACCAAGTGATGCAATCGCTGGACCATACAGCCAATAAGCTCATAGCCCTCTCCCTTGGGTACTTACGCCTACCCAATTATTCATAACAACCTTTTCGACAACGATCCTGGATACCGGTACTTTTTCCTAGAATACACGGCCTACCTACTTAAGAAATAAAATTACAATTGTCCAAAAACCCAACGTTGTGTGATTTTTGTCACATTTCCTTCTAATGTTAGACTAATAGATATACCAATCATTGTTTAGGGAATACGTAATCTATTAAATAAAAAAAAAATGTTTGTATAAGGTTGTTTTTTTTTCTCTAACTGACACCAATAAGTTTACATTAAAAGTTGCTTACAAATAAATCAATTAATGGGAAATAGAAATAACTTTGATTGCCGATGCTGTTCTTAATATAAGAAGGTTTCAAATGACTACGATAAGATCCCCGTGTGTAGAACGGGCAAACAGCTAGTAATTATTATTTCTGGGTGCTCAGTTGTGCTTTAGGTAATTCTATCTTTGTAACTGGTTTTATACTAGCGCGCTGATAAAAAATAAATATTTTACAATCCTAAATTATGTGTTTCATCATAGACAAAAAGAATTAAATCTAGATTGTCAGCCATGGTTACAATGGTTACCATAGGTTCTGGGGCACACCGCTGGGAGCGTCGTGTTGTTACGTAGCGCTAATGTCATAGCTACATGGCACTCCCAGCGGTGTGCGCCAGAACCTATGGTAACCGCAGCACAGCTGACGGTCTAATTCTTTTTGTCTACGGTTTCATACATATGTTATCTTTTTACATTCCTTATATTTTGGTTTGTTGAACTGAGTAGCAACATTTATTGGGTTGAAAGGAGTTATGAATTATTTCTAGATCAGAACTAAATACAAGATTTAGTCTGAAACTATAGACATTTCAAGTTCTGAACCAAGGTTAATTCAAGAATTTATATTTTCATGTTGTATGTTGTTTTTCTGAATCAGTGAGATATAATATATATGAGGTTACATTACCTTAATCGCCAAGTGATCCATGTAGTCCAAATCTAGGATTACGTACGTTTCGACGTCAATGCGTCATTGTCAAATCTACAAAAACTTTTTTAAACCATAAGGGTCACGTCATAGTCTTTACGACACACACGAACAAAACAATAAGGACAAAAATACATTTAAGTATTTAAATACTTAAATTTACAGTTTACCAATTTATACCAATTTACTTACATTCAAGTACTTAAATGTATTTTTGTCCTTATTGTTTTGTTCGTGTGTGTCGTAAAGACTATGACGTGACCCTTATGGTTTAAAAAAGTTTTGTAGATTTGACAATGGCGCATTGACGTCGAAACGTACGTAATCCTAGATTTGGACTACATGGATCACTTGGCGATTAAGGTAATGTAACCTCATATATATTATATTAATTTATATTTATTCCACATTTAATTAGGTTCTTTATTAGCATATTAGTTTCAGTTTCCCCAGTTGTAGTCTAAGTCAATTATTCAGCTGTGTTTAGAGAAGCGTATCATTTGCATGAGAGTGTAGTGAATTGTGAACATTACAATCCCGGAATCGGCTAAGACAAATCCAGAGATCCCGGACTTGAATTAAATTCCCAGAATTGAGACCCCTAGAGGATGAACATCAATAGAGTTTAAAACTTTAAGAAGCTTCGATTTCACTCATACATCGGAAACAGCTATTACTAACCTTCTTCCTCTATAGTTCTTCTTACTAAGCCTTCAGATGTTTTTACTGGCAACAGATGGCGAGTCCTCTTATTTAATATTTTGTTTTCTTCTTCAATGTCTTTTTCATATTCCTCTTCAATTTTATCTAGATGATCATCTGTTCTCTTTCGTTTTTTATTTTTATCTTTCTTAGAACTGAAAAAAAGTATTATTAATCAGTTGCATTACCCAGGAAGAGGACACAGCTTGTATATAAACAAACTTGTGCACTGTAGGCCTAAATAACTAAAAGTTAATTATCCTAGAATTTTAAATTTTTATTTTATGTGAGTTTTCGTCCAAACTGTGGAGCCCCTCAAGGTCCAGTGCAGCACATGCCTAAGACCGGCTCTCAATGGGTTGTAAAGTTTACCGGTACTGTGGTGTAGTTGTAGTTAGTAAGTCTTCAAACTAGAAAACGAAATAAAGATAACTTCTCAAAATCAAATTTTAAAAGACACTTGTATAAAATAATTGTTTAAAAGCTACAGAACTCGCTAGTGTGACTAAAAATACCCCCGCCATAACAAACCCTGCTGACTAAGCGAATTTCCATCTCTCTGAATCGATTTTCAATTAAATCTATTTAAATATCATAAGGTTTAACGAGTAACTAGGTTTGCTGCTACAGCCTACAACATTTTATAATAATATCCATAAGAGTTTCATGGTAATTTTAAATTTTTTGAACTTATGCCTAACTTCTCAACAAATGCCTGCAGACGACTGAACCAAAGTGCTCCTGAATGGTGAAGGACCCCTCTATCGAGCCCAACCAGTCCGGCCCCCCTCCAGCGCTCTGTTGAGGCTACAGTGAACCAGTTCCGATACTTATTGAATGGAGGGTAAATATATATTTATATACCGGTATTTAATTCATCCCAGTTACCTACCTAATAGCTTAGGCTAAAATTCCTAAATGAAAAATTTTCTTAGACTCAAAATTCTTGAAAAAGAAGACTCTCGAATGGCAAGGATTATCAAAAAGTAACAAAATACCAAATTTCAGGTGTAACACAAAGAAAATTCATCCATCCCATCAACTTCTACAGTGGCCTTCCACTGTTTAAATTACAGCCTAGTCTTCTTCCTCAAGACTTTATTAGAGACAAATAAACTCCTCATGAGTTACACAAACTTGTAAGCCTTAACTTAATTATGCATACCTCAACTTGCTATATAAGGAATAACTTGAGCTAGAAACTGCTTTCCTTAGATACTCCAAGTCTTCAACCTCTATTGTTTGAAGAATATTATCTCTGTCGAGTGTAGTTTTCTCCGCGTCCTCATGATTTACATTTTGAGTTATGTGACTGGAACTTGAAGAGATTTTATTTTTCTTAGTCTTGATTTTGCCTTGCTTGTAAAGTTTAGTCTTGGTAATATTTTTCTTCTTTACTTTACTAGTTTTTGTTTTCTTTGATTTCTGAAACAAAATCATAAAGGAATACCATATTTTTTTTATAAATAACCAATAATATTCATGTCATTATTCAACATAGCACAATGGGTGTGTTTTGTGACTTATTCAAGGTGTTTGACTGTGTCAATCATGAATTAAAAACTACTCATTAAAAAACTAGAATTATATCCCTTTTCTGTAAATTTAGTATCATGGTTAAAATCTTACCTAAATAATCGCCATCAGAGAACAGTCATTTGTAAGAATAATTTAAAAGCAAAATCAAAATGGCAATAAATTAAAAAGGGTGTGCCTCAAGGTTCGATTTTGGGGCCACTTCTATTTCTTATATATATTAATGATCTTCAAAAAAATGTGGCAAATAATCTAATTCTCTGTGCAGATGACATCAGTAGTTAAAACAAAAAAACAATGATGAATTAAAACATAAAATTGAAGAAAGCCTAACCGAACTGGGAAAGTGGTTTAAGATCAATGGTTTCAAAATGAATGAATGGGTCCCTATCTCGATACTGGTACTGTTCGCTAACTAAGAGCGCGTCGACATCGTGTTCGAGGGCAAACTGACAGAGAAGTGCGTCAGCCATCCTGGATCGCTTAAGATTGCACTGAAGGGTTCTTATCTTCATGGGAGTGATTTCGCTTGCTGTAGTGCAGTCTTAAATACATAACACTGGCCAGACCCAGCTATATGCTTTAAGTGTTTGTCAGCGAACCCATTTCCTTTGCAAAGGAAACAGGACTCGACTTGGCAGTCCTTACGGATGTGACTCACCTCCCTGCATCGAAGGCAGTTATTGCTTCAGTTGCCGCCCTTGCAGTTTCGGGAGGAATGGCCGAAACCGAGGCACTTTAAACACCTCTTCACTTCCACCCTTGTCTCTTGAAAGCAGCCTTGTCTTTTGATTTACCCAGATCAAGGAGAACATCCCTGTACCGGGTTTGTCTAATCGACTGCACAACCGTATCGGTCTGCTCCTGCTTAGCTTTGGCCTTAATTACACCCAAGACCTCGGCGAAAGATCTCCCCTCTAAGGGTTTGACCAGGATTGCCTCCGTCCTGAGCTTTTTTGGCCACAACTTTTTCAGAGCAGGGGCCGAGCAGGGCCGAGTTTGGGCTACGCCGGTTGGCTGTGCCATCACTGCCTCATTTTTCATGGAGACTACCTCCGCCCGCCTCAATGTCCTCTTCTCCTTTTTGGAAAGGAGTTTTTCCCACACAGCCCAAGGAGTCTCTACAACTGACCCCTTTTGGGAGCTTCCCTGAAGGGGGGTCGTAGGCTGCTGAGGCTGTCGGCGCTTCGCTGGAGCTGCAGCTACGCCCAAAAAGGATCTGAGCACAGCATTGGCCTTTACCGTGGTCCTTTTAGACCGTAGAAGGCCTCCGACGTTTCTTAGAAGGCAGCGATCTTTCATCAGGCAGGGACACCACCTTTTTGGCAATCTTGGCACCATCTATCCATGGCCTTGCTCACCAGACAGCAGGCAAAGACGAAGCCAAGGTCGTCCTCTAGTTTGGCCATTCCATTTTTGACCACTTGATTTATGGCTTTCTGGGTTCGGAAGGTGTCCAACATAGCCTTAATTGTCTCTTCCATGTTACGGAGCCGGAATTCAATGTTCTGGGTCAAGATATTCCTGACGCAGAAGCACCATCTCAGAGCCTTCCGACCGCAATGTCGCTGTGAAGGTTTCCCCTCGGCATCCCTACAGCAGAACTGAGCTCCCGGCAATGCCAGTTCGATGCCTACATCGCCAACATTTTCTGCACCATTCCCAGCTCCACTTGCCGAAGGAGATCCTAAAGGGGGGACGTAGAGCACTTGAAAGGTGCAGGTGGCGGAGATGTCCTCACGTTTTTGGTGGTGGCAACCTCTTAACCTTGGAGCTTCGAACAAAAGGATTCAGCTCCACTTCAAACGTATTTTCTTGCTCCTTGAAGCTCCTCTTCAATGATGAGTTTGTGGGATTTTTATTAAAACTCATCGTGTTTTCTCCAGCGCATCGTGCGGCAAGGAGCGGCCCAGAATCAGTCAGGAACAGGTATACCCTCGGGGACAAAAACCCCTGACCTAGTTCCCCGGGACCTGCCCTTTAGTTTGCCCAGCACCGGATACCTGACGTGCCGAGGGTCACCCGTTGCAATGCAGAGCCTGAACTCTACATCCAGGCCGCACTCCCTGACCAAGGACCGAAGTGGCTGGTTTCTCTTGACCTACTGAGAATACCCATCGGCAGTGCAGAGCACACATTAACCCCTGCAACGACCAGCTTACATTGACCAGCTGTTGGGGTGCCTGCAACAGGGGCACTCCAAGGGACTCCCAGTGAGTTCGTCGGTCACCCTTTAAGTCGCCTCTTTCAACAAGCCCGAGAAGGCTGCGGTCCTATTCTAACCCAGTACCGCACGGGGGTTTGTACAGAGTAAAAAAATTATGTAATTTGTAAATATTTTAGGCATAATCAATTATATTTTGATTTTGATTATGCACAAACACTCATAGTGAAATCCTGTTAAGGGAACTATGCTGCAATTTATGTCCATCCCATTTTTATTAATTTGCTTTAGGTACCGTGCTCGATTTGCGGCGGAACAGTGTTCCAGTACCTCTCAAGAATCTTTTGAGGGTGGGGATAGGACCAGGGGGGGGTCATAGTTGCCGCTAGGTTCTGGAACTTCATTTTTTACAAATCAAGCACTGCCAGTAGATATTCATGATAGTTATAATGTTAATAATGGTGGTGAGTCGGTGGCTCAGTTGGTAGCGTCACAGACTTTGGGCCCAAGGCAGAAGTTTATTTTATTTTATTTTATTTTATTTTGCTTCCAACGGTCCAAACAAACCAATTTACAATTATTTAGAAGTGTCGTGGGTTCGGATCCTGGTCACTGCCACAAACTTTTATCAGTACAGTTCACCTTTGTACTGTACCGGCTCACCCCTTGCTTTGCTGGATACGTTCCACGCACAGATCTGTAGTCTATGTAGACGGGCAAATGCAAGGTTAAAAGAGGCTGCCAACCTCTAAAAAAAAAGTTGTGTATTCAATTTTAGCTTCAATCAGCAATTAGTGGATGAAATATAATGAAAATTCTTCTTTATTGAGGCAAACTTAGGACCTCGTGGTCCTTTCTTACAGTTCACCTCTTATTGGTGCCATAACCACAGTTAGGTTACAAAGATGACATAAAATGAGGTTCCTAACCTGTCGTCAATCAGTCCTATATTGTCGTAGATGGCTATAGTTTCAAATCTTCTCTTCAAATCTCTCTTGAAAATGGAGGTTTAACCCCGAAACTATAGTCTACACAATACTACAATCGACTACTAGTCGACAATATAGTCATCTACGACAATATAGGACTGATTGACGACAGGTTAGTAACCTCATGTTATGTCAATAAATCAATCCTGGAGGCAAACTATGAATAAAAAATATATAAGTTACAAAGATATATTTTCCACAAAGACAAGTCAATAACAAAATCAATGATAATGGTCATAAAATAATTAGTTTTTAATCATAATCAGTCTGTGGCTCATAGATAGGGGTGCAACATTTGTTTTAATTTTTTTTTATGGTACAAGTACAAAAAAATCAACAGTTGTGAGTACCTATTTGCTCAAGTTAATGGATTCATGAAATTTGTAGTATAATTTACTGTACAGTAAAGAATTAGGTATCCAAAAGTTGAAAATAATAAAATAAACAGAAACCTTGTTCAATATCTTTTGGTATTTTTGGATGACAACCGGTTTTGTGACGACAGTCACATCATCAGGTCAATCCTCGTGGAACGATTTGTTATATATACACAAAGTTTTTACCGAACACAAAACAAAAAACACATTATATTTACATACAGACTGAAACCATCCCGATGCGTGCACGCATTGCGATGGTTTCAGTCTGTAAATACTTTGTAAATATAATGTGTTTTTTGTTTCGTGTTTGGTAAAAACTTTATGTAAATATAACAAATCGTTCTACGAGGATTGACCTGATGATGTGAATGTCGTCACGAAACCGGTCGTCATCCAACAATACCAAAGGATATTGCACAAGGTAACTGTTTATTAATTATTTAAATCTTCAATATCCAGTAGTAGGAAAATGAAGTTGAAAATAGGTTTACTTAGGTTGTTGGATATAGTATAAAAACATTTCATTTAAATAAACTATGGTTTATATTTTGTATTGTCTTTTCCAGCTGCTATGAAAATATGAACTTTTATAATTTTGAAACATATGATTTTTGAATGAATTGTTATGTTGTGATTACAGAATAGTTTGGTAGCATTTTACTATGATTGAGTAACTTTTCTTTTGTGAATAATTAAATTATTTTCTGCTCATTATCTAGTCTATTTCTCTTTCCATTTTTGACTTTTAACATTTGGCGACCGTGACAGGACTGTATGAGTTCTTAACCAGATAGTCACTATTGAGATAATGGAGAGAAATAGGAAACTAAGAAAAACCTTCAGAACAGCATTTGCCAGAATTTATAATGGGATAAATGAGGAGCTGTGCAAAGATGAGCAAGACCTACACAATATACAGGGTAAATTGAGCTCTCTGGAAGGTAAGATAGAAGAACTAAAAACTTTGGACAGGGAAATTTTAGATTTCTTGCTTGATTCTGAAGCAGATGAAGAAGAGTTAAATGAAGAAGTTAGGCTAGCAGATGAATATGTAGAGAAGTTTAGTCGAATTAGTTTAGCTGTACAGAGTAGATTGATTAGGTCTAGGGTCACTTCACCTAATTCCAATGGGTCTGTAATGAGTAAATCTACTGCTGTTAGGACTAAGCTGAGGCTACCTACTATTGAATTCACAAAGCTTAGCGGGGATTTGAAGGATTGGCTACCTTTTTGGGCACAATTCAAAAGAATAGATAATGACGAGAATATTGACGATATTGATAAATATCATTATCTTGTACAGGCTACTTTAGCTAATTCTAGGGCTCGTCAGCTGGTTGAAAGCTATCCTGCTAC